TGTGTTTGCTTACGACTTTGATTCGGTTGCGATTCTTCTTGGCTATCCCCGATATGCAGAGCATACTGAGCGATTACATAGGCACCACCGGAAGTTGAAGAATTCGTCTTCGCCAGCAGAAACTTGAATTAAATTCTAATGTACTCAAGTTGCATAACTCTCTAGGCTAGCGTGCGATCATCCACATCCCCACTCCACCCTCATCACTTACGCCACCAGACACGAACCTTCCTGTGGAACATAATTATTTCGCAAAGATCCAGTATCTAGCAGACTCAGCGTGCGCGCTACAGTATTACGAAGTATATACTCCAGCCGCAGCGGCCTCTAAGTGCAACCATTCTGCGCTTCGGAGCCAGCAAATGTTCGCACGCCGTAATAGGTGCGCTAAAGCCCATCAGATTCGACTAGCAGGGCCTTTATAAATACACCAACTAATCCCAAAAACTCCTATCAACGCTGACCAATAGACCGTTAGACCGTTAGGTTCTTGTCTCTCATATGCGACTGCTATGACGCATATTTTTGTGTCCTGTTCCAGCTGGATAGATAACATGGCTCGACCTAGAAGGGCTGAAACCCGCCTATGCCACCGTTACTTCGAGCGTCTATCAGTACTATAGAAGGTTACATGGCGCAATCCGCACGGCTCTGTGGGTAGCTTCCAATAATATCAGATCGCTGGTAGCTGAGGAAGCTAGCACTTTGATGAATGCCATTTCCCGAACGGTCTCGACTCGTATCTAGCTCCTTTTTGCTCAAGCAGCGAATTGCTGATCAGTCTACTGCTCTGAGAAGTCTGGCAACTACGTGAGAGCCTACCTCACCAGGGGCGTTCGACTAGACGTGCACAGGGCTTTGCCTTGGGGATTTTTAACGTTCTCCAGACACCTCCCGTTTTTTCTAGCCGTCGTCTGGTCCTCCACTAGAATGCTCGCAGGGATCGCAGACGGGCTACTGCAATAATAGTCCCCTTTTGTCTTGAAACCCGACTGTCCCCCTGGAATCTATGCTGCAACGTTGTGTATCTTGTTTCTTGCGATAGATCCATATATCATACTCTTGCTTTTATCCACCGACAGAATCTCATCCGGCCTTTATTCGATCATCGTACAGGGACTTTTTGCATGGATCTGCCCCTGCTAACTTGCTGTCCCACATTACAACACTGTTCCCTCTGGGGTCATGTCACACGGCCGCTCTAGTTTAGAGAGTCCCAAGCTATCATGTCAAGCAGAACCACGCTGGGATTAAATGCGGGCATCGATCCATAGGGAAAATACACTGCGTGTACAAGTGGTATTCCTGGGAACCAGCACCCCCCAACATCTTCACATTTGAGCTAATTGCAATCAAGTCCCCAGCGGTACTCGAATGTGACAAACATAAATAAATTGGCATCCTTGTATCTAGACACATCGCTTCCGAATCCTAATCATTGTGAGTTAAATTCTGATCTAACAATGCCAGTATTTCCATCGTAGCTCGCTGTCGCAAGGGATTTGGCTACCTCTTTTCCCGCTCTGCCTCATTGACCAGGGAACAAAAAATATCGGCGATTTTACACCACCTCGCTCGAAATTATAGCCGGGTTCTGCTAACTTTTCAAGCATGTGTGAATTAGAAGTAGCTCGGACGAGGTTCAAAATAATGACTCAATCTCACATCATGACTGAAATTAAAGCACAATATCATGGAAATAGTAACTCTATTTTGCGGACATGAGCTTGTACTGTCTCTTATGGGTGGCAAAGGTGAAATTGTCAAAATGACTGGGGTTAGATCCCTGTTCAAATTGCCTTAATTGGTATGATCTTCATACAGGCCCATGTCTAGTTACTCGACTAGTTATGCAAGCAAGGGGTACTATCCAATGACATTCCGTGAAAGTCTAAATTATGGGGATGGTTTTGAACTCAATAGGAAAAGTACAATAGTCCTCAGCTGAAATTCAAAATTGAAAAAAGTCAGTTGATATTCTCTAAAAATACACATCTATTTCAAAAATTATTGCTCTGTATTACAAAAGTCTACATCAAAGCCCTCAGTATGGCTCGCAACTAAAATGAAAGCGTACTACATGTTTTGTATGTCTTCTACATCCTAATACTTTGTGTACCCTCCATTTGCCTTTATCACTGCTACGCATCTTTCGTGCATGCTGCCAACTAGTGACAACAGCTCCTCTGAAGGTATAGAGTCCCAAGCATCCTATAGCAATGTCTTCAACGTGGCAGAGCGCACAAGCCTGACCCCATTTATCACAGGACTATTTACCTGAATGTGGTTTTTTAAGATATTCCACAATGTCTCGATCGGGTTCTGGTCCGGAGAGTAGGAAGGCCATCTAATAGGCGTTATTCCAACTTCACGCAGCGCCTCAATTGTTGAGTACGCTTTATGACATGGTGCGTTGCCGTGCATGTATAGAATTTCTGGATTTTCCGAGTGAAATTGATTCAAAAGTGGCAAAATCCTTTCACAAAAGGATGAGGCCCTCATTGATCCTCAATCCTTCTCCCAGACTAGGAATGGGCCTTTTTGTGATCCGTAAAATGATCCCCAAAACATCCAGCTGTTCCCATGAGTATGGCGAGCCACAATACAAGTCTCATCAAACTCATCATCAGGCTAAACTCTGCTGTTAATACAAGGAATATTTAGATAGAATTTAAATGTACTTTTCTTGTGACACGAGGTTTCATATGACAAGCACCCGATACCCAGGTTTCATAAGTCCATAATATGCGACTCCATTGTTCATCGCTCCAATCTAAATGTAATTGGGCGAACTTCAATCTTTTCTGCTTGTTCACCGCGCTTAACGGAGGCTTCTTCCGAGCAATGCATCTGCTGTAACCTCTTTTTTTGAGTGCATTAGAAGTTAGACGTTCACTGCATCCCCAGTGGCTGAAGGGCCCCATGGCTAGTTCCAAATAGCACATCTGTCGATTTTCTGGAGACTCCCGGACGAAAGCCTCGAGCTCATTAACTTGTTCCGCGCTTAATTTTGGTAAGGGTTCTTTGCGAGACATAGGATTCTCAGTCTCTCGAGCACAAGCAAGTTGTACTTGTCTTATTGTGAAGCCAAGTTTGTCGGATATATTTTGAAGTGTCAAGCCAAGTCTTCTTAATGCTCTTATTTCAATACATTGATCGCGAGTTAGATGCTTGCAAACTTTAGTTTCTGAAGCAGACTTTTCGAGAGACATTGTTTGCTAGAATAGAGGATGAATTGATAGTGATGAGAGGTTTCAGTGACTGTGTAGGCTTGGCAGCCAAAAATGTCGTTGAAAATGTGTTTTACTAAGCGATTATTAGAAGAAGACGATTGGACCATACTTCATGGCGAGCGGGGTAATAAGGAGAGACATACTAACCTATTACGAGCTAGCCCAACTGCGCCTACAGGGATAATCCCTTCAACGAACCAGTTTGAAGTTTTACCTTTTGGAACCTAGAGACACAGTATACAATAATTCACTCGGCTACGTCATCTACAAGGGAGTGAGTTATTCGAATGCGACAGGTGGTAGCGTATTAGGCTAATCCATAGCTATTTTATGATATTTATGCACACAATCTAGTTTCATCGTTAAAATTATGACTATGTTCCATGCATTAATCTTTACAGCGACAAGTAGAAAATTGAAACCGCTGGTTTTTCGGTGCAAAAAGTTATTTCTATTCAGTGGACGATTTCAGTTCCACCCTTCTCAGTATTCTGCGACATAATGAGGTGTGATTGTGAAGGTAATTGAAGGCCAATTCTTACAAACATTTAGAACCCTCGTCTTTTGGGTAGAATCATCCGTGAAAAAAAGTGGCTAAACTCTACGGGTAAATAGTGAGCTGAATGGCCATTCATCACGAGCACCTTGACAAAGATCTTTGAAGTACTAAAATATGATAGGTGTCGCTATCCACCATATCCAACTGTCGGCGGAACATTGGAGAGTAGTTGATCCGTTGGCTCACGTAAGCTAGACGCGCACGCGTGCTATTAGTTAGATATTGGCTTAGCAAACTAGAATAGAATAACAATGAATTTATACACACCCAGTTGTCTTTGCATTTACTTGTCACGTACGTGATACTTAACCCATCCAACGATAGGAATATTAAACAAGGTATGGCCTTGGTCGGAGAGGAGTCCAATGTGTTAGATAGTCATTGGCTCAAGTAGAACAATGAAACACACACTTTAACCCCCACGCTGTAAAATTCCAGGCGAGTTAGTGTGTGGCGCAGACAAACACTTGAATAACGCAAATGATTATAGATTCTCATTCATCTTTAAATAGTCCCATCATTATTTTTATATTGTAATCATAAAATAAGGCCCCACTTACTTCTTGTCGACCTCTTAGGCACAGTAGTATGATAACTTTCCCCTCACCTCCATCAAAGTCCTGAATAATAAGTGAACCTTGATAAACCTGCCACCGAAATGCATGAGATATTCAGTAAATTCTTCCTTACGCCGAGAATATCATTCAATTATAACCTCAAATTCCAACTTAAAATCGGACAAATAGTTCAAACCAAAAATATTATATGGACACCTCACAAATAGGGAAAACCAGAACACTTTAGAAGGTCCCAGACCTACCCTACCACCGAATCATTTATTTTAGCCAGCTAATACCATCAATAACTCTTCCAATATCTTTATCGACAGGTGCTATGTATTGTTCATCAAAATCAGTGCATGCACTTAGATTGATACTAGAACAGATTAATAGCTGGTCCAGTCTGATATATTTCCATCTTGGATAAGCCATTAAATTGTTTTCGGCATGGATTTCCGAGCCTCATTTAGGTAATATGATGAGGCTTCAGAAAGTTTATATGTTTAGGCAATAAGTTCTGCTCAGCTTGAAGGCATGAGAAGTGCGGAAACTATTAATACAAGTTTGGAATATTGGCGGGAAAATTACTGAAATATACTGAATCATTTTTTGTAATATAATCGCCAGAATCGTTAAAAGGGGTTTATTTTACTGTATTCGCTTCCTTTTTCTGTCGTCCTCTCGGATAGGCTCTTCATCTTCTTTTATTCGTTCAGTTGTTACTGTAGGATTCAATATATGTGCCATGCTACCTCTGCGTGTGGGGAGACCAGCTGGCTCCTTTAAAAGGCACCCAGACTTTTCTCTCCTAGATACGGTCCAGTTATTTGTTACATCATTAGATGAGTTATTGAAATTTGGTGGGGGGGTGGTTGGACAAATATTTTCAGGGCGGAGCTGTGAAGCAGAGGCCAAGGAGTAAGAGTTAAAACTATCTTGGATCTGCTGCTCTTCATTTAAGTTCGCTTGACCAGGCTTCGGGGATGACCAATGTGTCGAGCTTTGTCCAGCACCATAGGAGGATGAATGCGCCTGCCAACCATGAGGGTTGCGAATATCTGCAGAGGTATGACGACGCGGAAGGTTTGTAGGAGGTGTTGAGTTTGTAAGTGGGTGTGGTGGCTGATGACTAGGTTGATAGGGGGAAGTTTGCATCCTCAAGGAGTTAGGCGACAATTGTGTCGTATTAGTGCCCATAGGACTAAATCGGCGTGGACTCGGAAAGATATGAGACGGTAATGGTGGTCTATGATGACTGTTACGAGGAGCAACGCTTATCGTAGGAACCCGTCTAGGGTCATCGGGTGGTGTTTGGCGTGGTGATACTGGGCCATTATCAAGTGCTTGGTTGGAGAAAGGTCGGTTGTTCGCGAAGTGAGGTTCGGTAATTTCATCTAATGATCGTATAATCTCGATTTGTCTTTGAATCTCAGTTTGCATGTTGACCGCTTTCCCGATTAGTTAAATAGTCTATAAAAGAAGTCATAAGGATTTCATACCATCACGGTGAATGGGTATGTCAGAATTTGGAATCATAGAGAGTACAACCCGGGACATTTCATGGTTCAGCTTGAAAATTCAGCCAATATTTCACAATTTACCTGTTATGTTAAGGCCGAAACTCAACTCACCTGCAAAGACCGCGCCAAGGCCTCCATGATAGCCTGATTTCTGGCATGCATGACATTCAGATTTTCTTCATTTTTGTGAATAATGGCGTGCATTTCATATGTTGTATTCTCAAGATTAGTCAATCTTGATTCGGTGGATTCATGGGCCTGTAATTGATGTGTATGCATGGTGTCTGTAGATACACCTGATGGAGGGGGTGGGGGCTTTGGCCCAGAGTAAGAATCTCTGTGTACTAATGCATGTCTTGATGCCCGCCGCTTTATTTCTCGAAGTCCCACGAGATCGCCTCGTTTAAAATTACCATTTCCATGCTTGAATTCCCATAGCGGAGATTCTGGTGACCCTGTGTGGAATACATCGCTGACTGAGACTCGTCAATGATGCGATTAAGGGATTTAGTGATGAGCCACAAACCTTTGTGGAATCCATACATGTTTAATTGGCGTACAAATGACGAGATATTAGTGTGTTTGAAGTATTGACTAGTAAATGAGCTAGGAGCAACAACTGAGTCAAGAATACTATCAACTTACGATAGAACTTTGGAAAAATCATTTGATGGAGACATTACAAAACTTTCTGCAGAGTTGGACCAGGATATTAAATGCTGAATACTCTGGTCCTCAAGCATACTAGCAATTTTATCAGTGTCTCTATGCCGCAACAGAACTAGATGCTGATTACTTATAGAGCTTATGTATAAATGCCGTCTGCACAACCTTGGGCTGCTGACCGCTTGTTACCGCCGAAGCGTTCAGCCCAGGGGCACTATTGTTGTGTGAGTGTTCACCCATTGAGATTTGGTCATGTACACCGTTCGTTTCGTTTTCCGGACTCATCCGGACTGGAGGTGCTCTCATAATGTTTTGTTTGGGTGTTACAACTTCCATCCGTTCATCTGATGAGTGAGCAGAAGTATGTCTGTTTGGAGCTTGAAGAATAGGGATCGTTCGCGAATAAGATGGACTTCGTTCTACTTTTGGAAGAAAGTGATTTTGTTGGGCGCGGTTGTCGGTCAGGTCCATAATTTAGTCACCTTTAAGGTATCAGTTATTATCTTTAAAAGGGATTACAATTAAGGGAATATATTATTTATCTATCAAGGAGTATCTTACCTCATTGCATCAATATTCAAAGTTTCCAGAACTTGTGTATTTCTGAATTGACGAAGGAGGCTTTTCTTTGACCGACGCTGCTGCTGTTGATGCATGCATCCGTGGTAGTGTATCTCAAGCAGATCGACGACGTCAGCCTCGCTACGCTCAAGCGAATTGCGAGAACTAAGAAAGAGGATATACCGACTATGTCGTAAAGGTGTCAAGTGTGGGAAATAAACATCAATAGGCTGGTGGGAGAGCATCCAAGCAGGCTGAGGGTAAAGTAGGGAAGTCGCGTAAGCTTGTTTACGGGCGAATGCGTATTGTTAGAGGATACTCAGGTCGATATGACGATGTGATATCCCGGAATGAATTTTGAGTTATCTGCGGGATGGTTATTTAGCCTTCAATAATTGATTGAATTGGAAGTGTAAGTGGAAGTAGGATGAATATACGGTTGAGCAAGCAAGGAGGATGAGTGTCGTATCCAGATCGAGGTTGCGTCGACCTTTGGAATAGATACGCAAGCTTTACATGTACTCTTAGCTTATGTAGATTTTATCTTTAATACTCGACATCAAAGAGTTCTGCTGGTACTTAAAGTTGCCGGAGACTGGTTTGCGTGGTGCGACGTTCCGAATTGTGCTTTTAAATGCAGTTATGAATGAGTTTGGTGGATATGAGCGGATCAGAGTGACTGGAGGTTTCACTAGTCGATTGCAAGAATAAAAGCAGTTATAAGCTATAAATGGAAATCATATCAAAAATGTAATATCGAATTTACCTCAGCATTAAGATTGCTGATACGTATATTGGTGATGATTAGTCTTGGGAGAAGTTATTGAGATTAACATCACACGTGACCAGGAGGGATTTAAACAACCTCTCCAGAAGTGGTGTCGAATGAATGGATAGAAATGTTCACAGTCTTTAATGTCCAAAGCGGTGGGCCTTCTTATCAAGGGCGCTTCTTTACCCATATAGCGCCAAGGTTCAGTAGACAAGACCAAGCACTTTATTGTGTCTAGCACTTTTCTGTAGTAGTGCATTGTGCACTTTTCGGCGGTAACACTTCCCGGGCTAACCGTCAAAAGACTGGCTCACGTCCGTCACCTTTTAGTCGGATGTTAGTTGCTCAGAGAGAAACTCTCCGACATCCGCCAGGAGCGGACGGCACTAACTTCCCCAGTGCCTTGCTGGCGGGAATTGATGTTCGATGATGCATCAACATGGGAATGGCCCGAGCAAAGCATGAAAGTCCCATACCCCAAACCAGAAGGACTGGAGAAGATAATCTTCTACAATCGACTATAATCAAAACTTCCCGGATCCTCCGATCCGGACCATTTGGAGACGCTAAGCTAGCGGCTGAAGTTCGAGTGTGGTATTACCCCCACCAAACAGTCTTCTTGAATGTACTCAACGACCAAATTGTTCGTGAAACACAAGGAATTCTGTAGAGATACAGACCAGTTGTTGAGGCAAAGCGTCAAAGTGCCTACTTGTGGTCAAGCTAGTAGTTGCTAGCGGTACTTGTCCAAATTTTACTCTTAATGCTCCACTTTCTGGTCTAGGTTATAAGCTGCTCGTAGGTTTGCCTGAATCCGTTTTGAGCTCCACTTTTTAAAAAATTTAATAAACGTGAGATTCAGAAAGGTGTCCTGAAATTCTAAATAAACACAAACCATTTCGCTCGGGGCTTCGACAACAGTTCTCCCAAGGTAAAGCGCTGTGACTTTTGGATTGAGATCTTCAGAAATATATAAAAAAGAGGACTTCTGCGGCACCTAAAATTATTTGAGGACCTTAGTATTTTAAAAGCAAGAGGTGAGTAATTATGTATGGCGATTTAAAACCCACATTTAGATAAGGTTGTATTTTGTATAGGAGCACCGTAATATTTTCCAAGTATATTTGTAAATGACATCATCTGATGAATTTCTTACCCCAGGCTAGGAGGAAACTAAGGGCTTGAATACAGAGTTGGATTTGGATACTTCACCTTAAAAATAGTAACCAGTCCTACCCGAGTCATGATAGAAACTACTGTAAAAATTATTGGCAGTTTGTGAACCTCAGATCGATTAGTATCCAAGTATGACACTCTTGAAGGCGCTAGATTCTTTACGATTAGAAAACGGCCAACCTGACAAAGTCAAACGGCGTTCACAGTACGTGTGTTAACTTTTCTACGTTAAGTGAATACATTTGTCTGATGCAATTTAAAGAGTTTAATATAACGTCTGAGCTAGCTGACAAATTGGTATCCGACATTCAGGTTAAGTGAGATGGTAACAGTTTTATCCATAGAAGAAATTCGACATCTCAGGGCCAAGCTCGAATCATGTCTTTGCAGCAATGGGAATATCAAATTCCAACAATTACCACCGGAGATTTTTCTCATTATTGCGAATTATCTTGACATTGAAGACTTAATACGGATGAAAATAGTTTCTAGAACATGGAATAAGATATTTTCCGACAAGGAATTCTGTCTTCAAATGATTAAGAAAAAATTCCCACATGCCATGAATTGTCAAACTAAAGACTTAAAAACTGATAGCAATATAGAAATACCGATTGTTGATCCTACTGTATGGCTTCGACATGCAATCATTAACAGAGTTCGCCGGGAACGAGGCTTCTCATCAAATATGATGAGATGTGATTTGAGATGCAACTATCCTAAGCTAAACCTCAAATATTGCAATGGTCGGATAGCTTTCCAAAAAGATGGAATATTTGATGTTCGAAATCTTCGCACCCAAAATAGGTCTACTTTTACAACCCCAGATCGGCAGACGATTTACTCTTGGATACTCTCTGATCAGTATTTGATAGGTCTTATGCACGCGCCGTAAGTGACTGCATCCATTAAAATACTGATACAGAAAAATAAATGTAGGCGTTCAGAACAATGTAGAAAAGCCCGGCATTTGTGTAATATGGAATAGTTAAGACCTATTCACTACCCGAAAAATTTTTGTTATCCACCAATATATATGCCCGTATTCCGATCTGTTGTGCTAACTATCTAGAACCAAACTTTTTGCATGGAATCTATCATGTGAAGAAGAACATTTTCACAGCGTTCTCCTTCCTGCCAATCCATTTAGTTTCTCTGCCCACCACGATCAAGTCGGCATTGTGAGTGCAACATTTGAGTTACTGATGTGGTCCGTGGGAGGCCAGTTAAAGAACCTTCAGACAATCAAACCGAGGAAAGCTTTTGCGAATGAAAAGATTGTTGTCGCAGATATATTTTTTCATGCCATAGATCCAGGTCGCTTGCCCTGTATTTCATTCCACTCTACACTTTGATAGACTCAGTTTACTGATGTGAAACAATCAGTGCATTGATTTTATCTCTGTTGCACTGAACTATGAGAACCGAACTTGATGGTGCTAATCCTTCTTCAGATCGCTGTTTTTTTATTTACCACTCAAGGGTTCAATCTGGTCCGGGCACAACATGTGTGAACAGAATTACGGTAACCCCTCGCTGCTGCTTTGACTTGTCTTACCCTGAACGCGGACGAAACGATATTCTGGACATAAATAATTATTTTCTGAGACACTAACAAACTGGGTTTAGGTACAAAGCTTGTTAAAGGGTAAAATCAATAAGGTGCTTCGAACGGAATTAACGTCAAACTCTCCGCCCTCCGGTCAACGCAATTGCCTAATCTCCAACGATGGGCTTATCGGAATCGAAGTACAAGGCCACCTGGAGAGAGCTCAGGATGGAAATTATCAACTCTTGACGTTTGACATGAACAATGAAAGGTTTAAACATCATGAATTAAGACTACACCACAGTGTAAAGAATTCTTTAAATAATGGATACAATTTGATATGGCGGGACCAAATCTATCATCCTGTTTTTAGAGATGAAGGTGGGAATGGATTTCAAATAAAAGTTATCATGATACAGAAATTATTGTTGGATATCTGGGACTACCCCTCAGAAAATACTTGTGGGCTTGGTACTGAAAGCTCAAGTCTTCTTCGGGGAGAAACGAGTTTGAGTAGTATTCATACGACAGTAGAGGCCGAAACACCTGTGCGCGAAAGAAGGATCTGGGGCGATGATGACTACTTAGTGCTTTTAGCGAAGGATGGGCTACTCGTTTGGCAGTTTGATCTGAATAATCGTTAAGAAAACGGGTTAATAGCACACAGAAATCTCTTCATTCCTACAAATGTAAATTAAGTCTAGCTTGTATGAAGAAATCAATGATGATAGACTCGAACTGGTGATGAGGCGATGTATTTCGAGAGGGTCGAAGACTCAATACACGCACGCGATGCCACTTGCAAAACTTCAATTCTCATACATGGCTTTATTGCCAAAATTTAGTTCTAATCTAGCCAAAAGGATGTTTATCACTCTAGAGTTATCGGTATTTCCCGGAAGCCAAGATAGTACAGAATATGTCCGTTGGACAACTCTTCAGCATGCACACTCTGCCAGGACAAAACCTGAGCAGGGCCCATAGTGGCTCAGCAACGTAAACTTGAAGTGAGTACATAGGGCTCTAATCGTATTTAAATTGATTAGATTAGATTTTTTTATAGTCATTCCTGAGTCTATGACTATGAAGGACTTCTAGATTCTACTGTAACGGGAACTAGTGCACAAACTCCTTCGGTTCACTATAGGCGGCCCATGTGTAATGCTGGTTTCAGGGTCCGCTGAGTCTTTTTTTTGCATCAGATTTTAATTGCGTATGCAGCTATCTAGCTATGACACAATATCAAAGAAAAGTACAGAAAAGATGACTCAATTTACAAGAGGAGCACTCATGCCTCGGATTTCATTTGCAGGTACCACTGTGAAGTTGCCTAGGCCTCGATTGGCTAGAGCTGCTTGTTTTCGGGAAATTTTCCCATGCACACTGTTTTCATCCCCATCTCTTTTTTTATTGGGTAGAAGGTTCTATGGACAGGGTGGCCGAATTCCACGGGTAAATGCTGAGCTGAACGGCTATATGTCACAAGCATTATATCAGTGATCTTTTAAGTAACAAAAGAAGACAGGAGCACTTTACAAGGTTTTGCCTGAGTAAAGGAAGAGGTCGTTTTGCCAACTATTCATATACTCAAGTAACATAATCAGGCTAACCCAGCCCCCTTAGCAACTATCACTTAACGCAAGGCTACGTTAGTATTTACGTTATAGCCAAGCCTTGCGACTAACGATTAATAACTAAACTAATTGATATTATATCTTGAGGGTTATCAAAAGTAACAATCTGAGCAATCTTCTAAGTATCTTGAAAGATTCTTGGAAGTCAAATACGCACCCAATATTTAGCACCATTGCTCATCACAATGTCTGTGCCTCGACACCGACTACTCCAACTTTTGAAGGTAAAGATCCATCGCTGTCTGAGATCTGCTACAAGAAAAGTAATAAGTTAAGGTCCAATGCAGAATATTCAACACCACGTACAATCCTGATGGACTACGATTGGGAAATAAAGTCTTACGGCAACGATTGAGGGGTCCTTCAGTGATGGCTTACTACCCAAGGAAGGTTGCAACACTTCAGGATATGAATAGGTGTTTTCCAGAATGGGAGACCCCTAACGAAGAAGAAGAGGAACGGCTTGAACACCTGAGAATGTGAGTGCATTAAAATCCTACTTAATTCTGGCCACTGATGTGAGGATAGCGCCAAGGCTAGAGGAAAAGCTGCGCCTAAGAAGAAAAGAACTTTTGAAGGTATGATGACCCATTAATTTGAAATTGAAGCTTAAATTGGTATCTAGATTCAAAAAAATTTAAGGGAAAAAAAAAGTAACCTCTATTCTCTATTTTACACGATAGAAACATAAAAATAATTGCAAATAGTAAGTCATCAATATTCACATGCTAAAACTGATAAAAAATCGAGTATAAAAGTTGACAGATCATAACCAGCAACCTGAAGAGTGTCCTACCTACCCATATAAGTTGTATTGAATTACATGAACAAATGAACCCCCAAAAGACACTGTCATCCCTACCCTTATGGGCTAATAGATTTTGTAAAATATGATACGAAATTTTTCAAGAAAATAACTTGATTGATTCCTTCGAAATTATTCATAAACCTGTCTTTTAACCCAATACAGTTGCTAGCTCCTCTTGTGCAGCCATTATTGCGAGAATTGATAATTTTGTGGACTCTCATGAATTAATTAGCAACTTGGAATTTTTAAAAAAGAATTAATTTTACGCATTAGATTTTGTCGGGTAGTACAAAACGAGATCTATTCCCGTCGATAAAGACGCTTTTTATTTGAATCGAAGAGCTCCATCCACCTTCTTTCTGCACTTTATCTTGAATTGTTTCACATAACATCTATCTTACAACTCAGATGGAAAAGTTTCCATTTCATTTTTCTCTTCCTCTCAACATAGCACTTCTAAATTCAAATATGAGAGAAATTTAGGGATGGATCATTATATTTGTTGCAATGTGGTCTCTCTGAAAAGTTTACTTCCTGAAGATTCTTTCTGTATTGTTAAGTCCACAATATGATAGGGTATTCTGGCTCCTAGTGTAGAGTACTTCTATGAAACATGGTGTTGAACAATCTAGGGCTCAAATACTTAAAGGCTTATGGAATCTTTATCCTTGATTTGAATGGTGATTGATTTGAATCGATTGTTTGAAAGCAATATATGCGTTCAGGGGCATTACTTTGTAACAGTCTCGCACCTTCCCTATCGACCTATAATTTTAATTTGAAGGAAACTTGGAGCGTGCCTTCTTATCTTATATTGCAGCACTTATATGCTATCTTCCACCGTTCATTCTCGATCCGCACCTCCACTCTTACCCACGTTGTTTCGAGGAATTCTACCATCTCTCACTGACTACAGCGCATTTCTTTGTTAAATTACAGGCAATAATAGTCATACAGAGGCTTTTTAAAATAATGTCAGCAAACGAGTCCATGGAAACATCTCACCTCCATCAAGCTTCAAATAAGAACAATTTTAAGGAGCATGTGAGATTGACAGAGGACAACCTGCCAACGAGTCTGGTAAATTCTTTATCTTTCAATGCCTAGTAGCATTGTTTTCGTATGAGCCACTTAAAACTATTCCAAGTTGCATCTTAGATGTCAATGCTTCGTTTTTCTGTATCTCAAAATATTTCCTCCAAAATTATATCTGCTCGCTTTAACTTCGGTATACTGAAACATTCTTAGAAGAATGATAACTTAAATTCTTCCCAAGGGTCTACTGATGTCCGATCTTCGAGCAAGTTGGGTAATAATGCGGGGCACAAAGTCAGTCCAATTTTGTTTTGGACTCTATTCCAGATAAATCTAACATCTGAACTGAAGGCGGAAGTTAATAATGGAATATCATCGAATTTCGTCGAACTCAATCCCATGGATAAGCTGCTAGCTAAACTTTCGGAGCAACAAGCCACCCTAAGCAAGCAACACGAAACACTTATGTCATCTGATGATTCAAGCATATACTCCCACAAAATTGAATGCACAGCGGACTCGAAATCCTTGCCTATCACCCCAGCCCTCTCAGAAATATACAATGGCGTTACAACAAACAATTACTCTATTGGAGCTGGCGAAGATCAACAAGCACCAAACCTTGAAGAACTTTCCCGCCTCAAGTCAGAACTTGAAGTTGCAAAGGGTAAGATAGCTCGAATGGACCAGGAACTTGCTCAAAGTCGAATCACCAAGCATTCTCTTGACCAGATTATTGGTAGTACTTCGGAGACCTACTATCCGCTACATAACTCTCTTGAGAGCAGCCCAAGCAAATTTAAGCCTCCGACCACAGGACGTCCTTCTCTCCAGCGTGAAAATTCCTGGGCTGCGCAAGATGATTGTCGCTCTGACACTAGCGAGACACTATCTACAAACAGTTTCAACCGTTCTCGTAATATATGGGGCAACATCTCTAAGCCTACTAATGGTGTATCTCAAGTGGGATCACACCCCTTCCAGCAGTCTTTGACTTCCCATGATCACTCCCAATACGTGAACCGTGGTTTTGGCCGACCTTTTCTTGAATCCTCTGTCGATTATCCCAATTGTCAGATAAATGGATTTCGAATTGACAGAGTGCCATCAGAATCAAATATTTCAGCGGATCGTGCAGCAATTCGTCGTGCTCCAGTTGACGGACGCCTTAACAGCCGTAATAGTGCATTCTTTCAGTATAGTGGCGCTAATAACTCATTTGATGCTTTCTCGTCCAATACAGGTAATTATACTCCAGTCAGTAATATGGCAGGTCCCGTAGGATTAGGAGCGAGCATGAATATAAACTCAAGCATAAATTCAAATATGAATAGTGATATGGGCATTTATAGCAGCTATCAGCCGCAACCTATAGGGACACCCCTCTCACCTCATGCACCAGAGTTCACTTCATCTAACTCTTCGGGATGGAAGGCTGATGTGAGTAATTTTTATTTTGAGGTACTTGTTTGACGGAAAACTAGACAGTTGCAACTGAGGGTTCCACATATCTTCCTACGATAGAACCTCTTAACTATCGACGACTTCTTGATAGATCAGTCAACTGTAATTGGAAGTACATCGTTGATAAAATTGTCTGCAACAATGATCAACAAGCTTCAATATTTCTTCAGCAAAAATTAAAAGTTGGAACACCCGAGCAGAAATACGACATTGTTGAAGCCATTGTTTCTCAGGCATATCCGTTGATGGTAAATCGTTTTGGTAATTTCTTAGTCCAACGTTGTTTTGAGCACGGTACCCCAGCTCAAGTTATCAAAATTGCTGAAGCCATTCGCGGCCAAACGCTAAATTTATCTATGGACGCTTTTGGCTGTCATGTAGTACAGAAGGCTTTCGATTCAGTTCCTGAAGATTATAAAGCTGTTATGGTACATGAACTTCTCCGTCGTATTCCAGAGACCGTTATCCACCGCTATGCCTGTCATGTTTGGCAAAAATTATTTGAATTACGTTGGACAGAGTCTCCCCCTCAGATTATGAAGTATGTAAATGATGCACTACAGGGGATGTGGCACGAGGTTGCACTCGGTGAGACAGGCAGTTTGGTTGTTCAAAATATATTTGAGAACTGTCTTGAGCAGGACAAGGTATGCATTAAGTCTCTGATATTCTTTAAATTTCTGACAGTCACAGCGTCCTTGCATTGAAGAAGTTTTAGCTAGTATTGATATCATTTCTCATGGTCAATTTGGTAACTGGTGTATTCAGCACATCTGTGAGCACGGCGCGGCGGCCGACCGGAATCGTGCAATTGATCACGTTATTCGCTTTGCTTCGGAATATAGCATGGATCAATTTGCCTCAAAGGTTGTCGAAAAGTGTCTAAAAATAGGTGGTCCCGAATTTCTTGGTCGCTACCTTGATCGAGTTTGTGAAGGCCGTCTTGATCGCCCTCGCATCCCCTTAATCGACATTGCTAGTGATCAATATGGTAATTACTTGATCCAGTATATTCTTACTCATTCTAATCCGCAGCACCGGGAAATCGTTGCTCAGCATATACGGAAGCACATGGTATCACTTCGAGGGTCAAAATTTGGCTCTAGAGTTGGCATGTTGTGCACGAATCCCGCCATACAAACTCGTCCTGGCCCTGGTGTTGGTCCTAATGCCGGCGCTCCTCAAACACGCCCAGGTTTAGGCCCTCAGCAAAGCGCTCGCTATGCTGCTTCCTACCGCTAACCTTATATTTACTTTATTTTCGCAACGTAAATTGGTTTACTCTATGATCGTTAAATTAAGCTTGTGATTAAGCTGAAATTTTCTACACTCCTCGTTTATTTGCCTCTGGCCACTCGTATCTAGAAGGGTGAATCAGTTCGCTATGCATACATCAACTTGAATTCACCTTGGGCGTTGTTTTTGTCCAATTAGCAACAGATTGGTTCTTCCTAAAATTCGACCTGCGATATCTCATTCTTGTTCTCTACATCATCTTCTTTGTTGACCTATTTTAAGACTACTGATTATCCTACTGTCGGTGGTTTGGACACACCAGAATTATAATTTTGCGTTTCGTGATTGGCACTATGGCGGTTGTGCTTGTGACTGTTAATGACTATTCCAGCCTGATTCAAAATTAACTCAACTGATTCTGGATGGTCTACATTTTTGTTAGAAAAAAGGAGTTGCCTCATTTATGAAGTGAAGGGTAAAAGTTGATTTGGCTCGACGAGCAGTTGGCGGGTTAGGAAATTTAAGCCAAAAGTGTTTCTATTGACGAGTTTATTTTCACGACTCAAAAGGCCTCATCTAGTACAGTCTTTCCGATTCATACAAAAATAAAAATTACCAGAAAATTTTAATTTTATCTATCACTATTATATGATAAAATTTCTCCTGAATTGTTCGTTATAAGATCTTACCCCCAATTATTTTAACATTAGATTATCTCGCAACTGAGGACGATCAAAATGAATCCGTAGTAGGGACTGGCGGAGTACTTAGTTTAGCGTCTTCTGTAGATCATAATTTGATTATCACTCCCGACTCAATCTAGACACTGCAAATTCTACGATAAATACAAGTTTTAATAATAGTTTTTCTTATTCAGGGTAATGTCTGGTTTATTTAAAGACTTCGTCACCATCTGGGTACTCTTGAGTGATAATCTCATTTCTCCGATCTCCGAATGTCCCACCAGTAGTTAGCTCGGTAGACATTTTCTTCTGCCATGGTTTCATCCGTTTCGGAATAGTCGATAAGCTAGCTTGCTCTGGGACGACTGTAGATGGAATATCACGAATTCCTGGTATCGAGGCGCCACTCATTATGAGCGCAATTATCTCTTCAAATGTCGATGGGTATGGTGCTGACTCCATACTTGCTCTTTCATGAGATAAATCAGAATGATGTTGTGTCGGGAGATTCGTTGGTACTAAGCCGTCAGAGTTTTCAGCATCTATGCTGCTCAAGCATAATGAATCGGCAGGTTGAAGCTTGGGGTTATTATTGGCAGTAGATGACGGTACTGTATCACTCAAATCTCCCTCCTCCAAGAGGTATGATTTGTACTGGTCAAATGAAACAGGGATTGAGGTCTTGCGCGTGAAGTAAAAACATTGGGCTCGAAGGGTGAGGTCTTGTACCCGAGTAGATACAGTCTCCGAGCCAAGGATTGCTGAGAGCCCATCCTGCAGATGGGAAAAGACATTGATCAGTCTTACGTCTTACGCTGTATTTCATGGCAAATCTCATGATTCTGATGACTGCTTTAAATTGCGTCGAGGTTGCATACCTGGAATTCTCTATCTTTATCCCATTCATATTCTCTCAATTTCTGATAAACTTTAGCTTCGTTGGTAACTTTATCTATTTTAGAGGCCATGATCTGAATGATAATAGCTTTGTTGCATTGATTTCCTTCCATTTGAACAATGTCTAAATTCTAGTGCGGAATAGGTTTAGCGCCAAAAATTGCCAATAGCCGAATTTGCTTCAATCCCATCGAGCTTTCTTTCTTACCGCTTCCAATATGATCCCCATCGTTTATCCTATCCACAACTCATCCAAACCAACAACTGACTTAACTTTTAAAGTAAAGTCTGTGCTTCACATTGCACTGATCGAATAGAGTCTAAGCTGAATCATGGCAGAGTTTATTGGGTTCGTCTCGCAATATGCCTCTCACAAAAGCTCGATACTGATTGGAAGATAGTGCGAGAATTTCACTTATATCTAACAGTGATATTCGGTGAGTTGCACGAGGATGTAAGGATCAAAGTTTCCTGACTCCGAAATAGCTACGTTGGTACACTTCATGAGATTAACTCCGAAACTTCGACTGTTGCACTGGAAAATGTATCAATGTTAGGCACAGAAGGGCGACGGCCAGAAAATGAAGTTGCACCTCTAGACAGCGTATACGAATACATACTCTTCCGTGGCACAGATGTAAAAGATCTGCGAATCGAAGAGGCACCAATCAAAGAAATAAAACCACCACAAGTTCCCAACGACCCTGCTATTCTTGGAGTAAGTTACCCTTGGCAAATCACGCTTGTTCAAATAAATTCTCAAGCTTCATTATATGATGAAAAACTCCGGATGTTAACTCATTATATCTGAGAGCGCAAATACCGTGTGGATACTTCCGTTGCCTTCCTTCTGACTAGTTAATTTTCCATCTAAGATCTCACAAAACGAAGTATATAGAAAAACGCTAAAATTTAACAAACTAGAGTCGATCTCGTCCTACACCCCCTAATAGATCCGTCACCCATCACCATCAGCAGAATCTATCAATACAAGGCCAGGGCTTACAATCCCACCAAACTAAACAGGAGCATCAAGATTTATCTCAAAACGTTTTAAATTCAAGCCACTTCAACCAACAGCATCAGTACCCGCAATTTTATCCACAGGCCTCGGGTTGGAGTAGAGAAGTTCCTCCAGGAACTACTGGGTTTCCCTCTGTACCGTATGTCAACTCTGCAGGCTGGTTTGCGGGTCCACAGCAAGCATATCCTCCAGGACCTCCATTTCCGCCATTCGGATACTCAACCGGCCTTCCATTACAATACACGCAGCCTCAGAACGCTCTCAATGGTAAACCTCATCCTATCGGATCAGGTCCGTCGAAGCAAGAAATTTCACCTACGCTAAATCCAGTAAAGCAAAGCAGTAATTCGGTCGAACCTAAGAATGCTCCGAAAGCAGCAGAAATGCCCGCAGCCCCCGTCCGCAAAGTTTCATCATCTCAGGCGAACACAAAGGCTCCAAATGAAAAAAAACCTAGTAATGCTGAGGTTTCAAACACTGGTAATAACTCAGGTCCAAGAAATCATTATCGTGTGCAGCCAGCCTTACCTCTACCAAACACGATTTCTAAGAAAGAACCAACTCAATCAGTCACTACGAACAAGGTTACAAAGCCAAAAACCGACCTATCCGAGACTTTAAGAGATGCTACACAGGCAGCCTCAGCTGCTGTGGCAGCAGCCATGGCAAATCTCCCTCAAAACAACGAGACCAGTGGACCAGTCGATAATTTAACCAAGAAGGTCAATGAAATGAGGATTTCAGACCCAAATAAAGTTTCTCGAAATACAAACGGAACCAATTCTAATACTGGGAAACAGACACGAGGAAATAATAAGAATGGAAGCTCAAGAGGCGGTAACAGGGGCTCTGCACCAAAAATTGAAGTCCCAAAAGAAGATTTTGATTTTGAGTCATCAAACGCAAAATTTAGTAAACACGATTTATTAAAGGAAAATTCTATCAATCCTTCTTTTGGAGAGATCGTGCCCCCAGAAATGCCGATGGACCAAAAGCTACCCGTAATTTACAATAAAGCAACTTCTTTCTTTGATAATATTTCAAGTGAAGCTAAAGATCGTCAAGAATCAAACAACAATAAACAGGGAAGCCGAGAATGGCGAGGCGAAGAGCAGAAAAAAAACCTTGAAACATTTGGCCAAGAATCTATTGACAATAGCTACCGGGGTGGATATCGTGGCCGTGGAGGTAGTCGGGGGGGATACAGAGGTCGTGGATACTCCGGAAGTAACCATCCATCAAGAGGGCGCGAAGGACGATAAATCGAGAAAGTCATGTAATTATCAGCAAATGTCCGGAACGCAAAACTTCTGGCACCACAAACCTTTCTGTATGAAAGAGCTGAATTTCGACCAAAATTCCGGAAATCTCTAATCTATTGCCCCTAAAAACACTTGGGATAAGGAGGTATTTCAAACCCCATGTGTGTAAAGTGGGTCTCATCTAAACAGGTACTTGCTGTAAAGTCTCATAGCCTCAATATTTCCAACAATTGGTCGTGGTTCAGGCTCTACCTGATGAGGGTTACTAATATAGACCTCATGCATTGGATGGTATGACCAAAGATGATATTATGTATTATGGACATGGTTAGACACTGGGCTATAATCTACGCTGGTTAAATCATCTTTTGTGGGGCTAACTATCGGGAGGAATTACTTAGGGAGTTAGGATTTCTAGCAGATAGCACATCCCTTGCAGGCCAGTTTTTCCTGGGTGGCTGGGATAACGAATTATGGATTCAACAAAACAAACACTTCTAAGCCAAACTATACTCATGACTTCAATGGATAAAAGGGATTCGTTCATGGTGATTATAGAAGGCTTACAATATAATTAAGGTCTTGATGTCATCAAGCACCAAAGCCCGCCGACCTCTCAGCGACTGGCCATAGTTATGGATGGCTGATCACAATAGATGTTCAAGATAAAATAAACGATATGTAGTCTGTAAAGGAAAATTTCGCAGGCATCCCTCGGTTCTTCGAGTGACGGCTGAACTACTTAAATATGCCTTATTGGTACCTCTTCTCCCACATGACTCAGAACTCGAGAAATGAAATCATCAATTTGCGAGTAGCTTATCCTATGAACTGGGTTACAAAATAAATTTTTGACTTACTCTGGAACAGTTAACAAAGTTTCAGAACCTATTGTCATGCTAAATCTTCGTTCAGACAGACCGGGTGCTTCATTTACTATCAAAAATTATATTTTGTTAATGAGTAATAAGGATATCCGTGGGCATTTTCTTTCGATACCAATAAGTTGGGAAGGTTTAGTCTTCGTATTGACTCAGCATGTATGTTCATACTACGGAGCAAATAAAGATCTTAAAGGTTGATTATACAATAAATCTAGTAGCAAAAATTACAAGGATCTGAATTTTTAACTGCCGAAATTTAAATTATCTCCATGATTATGGCTATTGAAACCTGAGCCCCACTTCACACATGTAATTTGTATTTATCGTCCTTGTCAAAATGAATTATGTACCTGGAGTTATTTGGAGTCGGTGGTTTTTGCATTTCGTTGACTTGTTTTTTCTGATTTTAGGATAATACTTTATCCAAATGCAGATAGATAACAATTCTATAATATCAAGATAACAGAATGTCAGACCAGTATCAGAACCCGGTGGAATTCGTATTCCTGAATTAATGTTTCGTGATTCATGTAAATTCCATTCTTCTAACATGATCGTAACATTATTGTCAGAATAATATGCCAAGCTGGTACCTGACATAATTTGTGATTGCCTCAGGAAAACCTTGGCGTTTTGGGTAATTTTCAGCTAGAAAATGCTTGGCGTCCGTGTAACAGACGTGGTGGACTGGTATTGAGTCGGTTTAGGATTACATCTTGGCTACAACATGTTTGGATTGTATCCTGTGATGTAAGTAAGCTATTTCTAGATATTATCATCTTACGTCAGGTAGTAGATATGTGTAGATATATAAGCTGAGAGAAAGAGGAAGGAAGACAGACAGACAGACATTTACATCTTTTTATTTCACTTCAATTAAAAGCTCCTGTGCGAGCTATTCTTCCAGATACCTCTAGTCTCAATCATTACAGCTTCCGAACCAGCTCAAAAGGTTCGACACAGAATACGAGTCTTCATTGAACACACACCTTTTCTGAACGATTGTCCTTCTCACATACTATAGTAATTTAATCGGTTTAAATAAGATAATCAAGGGCGAATGGCTCCTCAGGTGTATGATCAAAAAAGGACTTGCGAAGGATAATACTGTTTGTGGGGAGTTACATGGGATGCATAGGAAGGGATATACTACTTGTTAAGGTGAACGAGACAATGGTTGTATTATTTTTTTTTTTATTGTCTACCGGGCGAAAGCGAACGCTATTGTGCATCCCAAGGGGGGTGCACGATGACTACTACAAAAGAAACTACATTTATTTACAGTTGGATGCTGAGAGGCCTTGAAATATAATTTCCCCTAAGATATTGTGAGCGCCATGCAGCTTATTCCTCACCTTACTAGATCACACGTTGCGGATAGGGCAGATTTCAGAAAGTTAGCCTTCTCCAGCATAGAGACGAATCGCTCAGCACCACAGGAGGTGCCGAACCGCACTGTATTATTGTTTTGTTTGTTTATTTGCTATTCGTATCAGGCATGTGCCCTACACCCAATAGGCGTGATGCGGGCATGTGATGTAAACAGATTCACTACTACCTACGTGCATGGCTTTACTTGCCAAAGAAACCATAAGAAATAAACATGAGAAAGCAATACAGTGTGTCCAAACAAAAGCGCCCTGCGTCCTGTCCTATTCTTCCTAGCAATTAACTACTAAAATAACCACTGAAAGCCCTAGGGGAGGTGTTATTTTATTTAGTGTTTAGTTTTATTAAGGAAATAATGACCCCTCAGTAATTGATGTTGTAGAGTGCAATGATTCAAGTAACTATCGAAGTGAAACTAAGTACATAATTTTTTGTCACTTGTGTACCAAAAATGTGGCCTACTTGATAGCCCTAATTATTCTAAAATCTAACAAGTCTATCATTTTACGTCGTGCCAGCGAGCAACACGCTTCCCAAGCTCACATGCCGGTTGGCTCAATCTAGAAGAAATACCCGATGTGCCGACGTTCCTAGGATCCCGGTATAAACTACCGGAGCCCTGGCCCTCCTGCCAGGTGCCCAAAACTAAAAAGACTTCAAAAGCACCCTTCCCCTGTGCCTTCTGTTTACTTTTTTTTCTTTATTTTTAAATCATTTAATGTGTATTCAGCTATCTAGCTATGACACATGACCGGTGCTTTGTATACATATAGGATGACTCTTTTGACGTTAGAGACACTCATACTCTGGATTTCATTTGCAAATACCACTATGAGGTATGCTTGCTTACACAAACTTTCGACCCTCCTCCGTAAGTGCCCACCAACGGGAATTCCAGACCCTTTATTTATCCAAGCATGCCTTCGTCATCCATGCATACCAGCGCCGCGATAAATGTGGTTGTATTTTGCCGGATTTGAACCGGCGATTAACTGTCTCAAGTGGAATATGTGTCCAAGCTATCCAAACTCTACTTGGTAGACCGGCCAAGACGATGTACCACCGCACCATCCAACCATGGCGGTGTTTACAGTGTCGCCTGCACTCTCGCAACCGAAGACTTGGCACGCACAAAGCTCAAATTGTAAAAACTCCTTGCCAAAATTCAGGATTCCAGGCCCGTCGAGACTGTATCCATCCTCTGCATCATCTTATCAACTTGTCCTGAATCCTATCACGTCCATCCCAAAGAACTGTCTCCCAAATTTGTGCGCCACGCTTTGCTTTCTCCTGCGTTTGTAAATATCGGCGTGGGCGTATATTTGGTGACCGGCTGAGGCCAGAGAAAGTCGACGAGAGATGTGATCATTGGAATAAGGATGTACTAGGTCGTACTTGTAGACTTGATGAGGCTTAGTTGAGAATCGGACTCTTTGGGAGTGAAGATTTGACGTGGTGGAGTAGTTTGAATCATTGCCTCGAGGGCCAACTTGTTCGGTATTGCGAAATTTGACTGAACCTTGGCTCTGGGAGAATATTTCACTCCCAGGTTCGTAGATGACACCGCGTACAGGTGTTCAGTCTTGCCCTCCCTTCTGTTTACTGTAACGCAGAGCCGGCGAAGATGAATTCTTTACCTTCAAGTGGTGCTGGTGCAATCGCTCAGTATGCTCTGCATATCTGGGATAGCCAAGAAGAATCGCAACCGAATCAAAGTCGTAAGCAAACACATGCATGTCTCCATTTGACGACTTCTCAATAATGCAGCACTCACCATTATCTTCTAAGCCCTCAACCTCGATCTAACTACATATCATCTCGCCTCAATATCCGAAAGAGGCGTCACCCCAATTGCGATCAGGAGTTGCCTCATTGACTACCGGCCATCACTCACTACAAATTTACGACGCTACGTACACCCGCGAGGAGGAAATTAAGTCATGATATACAAATTTGGGGTCTTGGTTTATGGGGGACTGATGCTCTAATGGGGTTATACATCTTGAGGAAGGACAGGTGACTGAGAAGAGGAGCGAGAGGGGAGAACAGTTATATGAAGACCATGCTGGGATCGACATTTTTGAGGGGTTTTCAACTTTGTATTTTTTGTGGACGCCAAGACCAATATTTCGGCTAATTAGCCAGGAGGACTTCAATTGTCGATGAGTCAATGGCACTCCCCAGCGCCCTGGACGGCACAAAAGAAGTTAGACTAAGCTACTATACAGCAATCACGCTCTGTCAAGACTTTTCTGACATTTCAGCACGATCCTCGGGAAGGAGGCTAGAAAAGCAGAGTGTGAATTCTCCGAGGTACACACAAGTCTGCAGCGCCCAGCTAGCCAGCCTCTTCGAACGCTTCGGAAGGATCACTATGTCTTCGGATTTATTCCTAATGTCGGTATCAGGAGAGCTCCGCACCCAGTGGTTCTTACGATTTTTCCCGGCTGCCACACACCCGCAAACAGCCATCGTTTCGTTGGCTGGAGAGGGGAGATAATGAAGGGCTAAGGCTCCTCTAGGTGTATGATCGAATGAGGACTTGTGAGGGGTCGAACTGTACGAAAGGAGCTGTATGGGAGGCATGGGATGGTAGATACTACTGGCATAGGTATCCTTGTCTTGTAGGCAAAGAGGACCTGCATGTCCTACATAGTCGTAGACTCAGACAGGACAATAAAATGAATTTAAAAAAAAAACTTCTAACATAGACAAATACGGCCTCCGGCATCAAGCATGGTGGTGAAGTGCTTGATGCAGAAATTGTAGGGGCAACAAAGGCCTTGGAAGCTGCGCTGGGATTGTTGGAGAGGGAGAACAGTGGAATTGACAGCAGGCGGCGGATCAACGTGTTGTCGGATAGTCAGTCTGCAGTGAAGGCACTGCTGATGGGAACTGCTACAACAAGTCTCGACGACGTGCGACGATTTAGAGCGTTATCAGAGAAGGCTCGAGTCTCGGTTCAGTGGATACCAGGCCACTCCGGGAGACAGGGAAACGAAGAGGCCGATAGAGCTGCACGCTCCGGCCTCCGACAACTGCCAAGTAAAGAGAGTCAGCCTGGCTCCGCCACGTTGGCGTACGTTCGTCGGTTCATGGACCGGAACAGGCAAACGCTTCTTGACGACTGGTGGGAAGAAGTATGTCCACCTAGATATCGAAATCTGGGTCTTCTCATGCGACGAAGCAAGCCACGCGAGCTGGCACTTTCTCGGCGACTACTTCGTAAACTGATTTCAGCTCGTACGGAACACGGAAACTTCGCTGCATGCCATCGTCGTTTCAATAACTTCGCCGCTTCAATGGAGTGTGCGTGTGGGGAGGAAACATCGCCTCTCCACTTTATTCACTGTCGACTGCACGCACGCCAAACGTGTCGACTTCGAGGGACAACGTCACATCACGACTTTGTCCAAAAGCTTCTCGGGCCTAGGTGCCTTGAGAATTTTACATATTTTGTGAAGAAAACTGGCTGCTTCGGAGGCCAGCCTGCGAGTCCGTCTCCAGGTCTCAGCGGAGAGGACATTAATTAGGTCATAGCACGAAGCATGGCAGGAAGGAAAACGAGGCGAGAAGTGTCGCTTTCCCACCTCAAATTGGAGTATTGCATTTGAAATTTTTTGTTAAAGGGAATTTATGGGTGTTTTTATTTTTAACTAGCTACTTGTTGTGTAGTGGTTCACGCGGTGAGACCGAGTTGGGCATGTGGGAAGCATGATCTCGGCCGTGTACGCCGGTCCTTGATTCCTAGGAGATATAGAGCTTAGCTTAGGACCATATAATCAAAATTAAAAAATTAAAAAATTACGACCTTGCCTCAACCTGGCCCTAGGTACAATAGCGTGAGTACATGTGGTACGTGCACGTTAGCATATAGTCCCTGTTCGCCTCTAGTAACTCCATCCTCATGGTCAATCTATTTCTTTCATCCCTACATTAGAGCTGCCTTCCTACCACTTCCTCCTCTCGTGATCCAGACAGAATGAATTTGTAAACCTACATGCTGGAGAGGAGAAACAATCTACCGCCGGTACAGACAGAGCTACTAGTAAGTGAATGAGTCCCGCTAACTAGGTAGTATGGAGCGAGAATGGGTCTCTTCCAAAAACTTAGTCTTATACCACATTGTATTATAGATGCGATTTAGCTAGATGTATGTAAGCAATGACACGTGGTCTATAGATTGCTCATTAAACTACTAGATATGTATATTTGGTCTGTAGACAGAAAGTACCTGCTTGTCGTATGAAGTCTTAGTGTGAATAGATGTCATCCGAGTAAATTGCTATCCGCACAAGTGTATCCAAAATGGGGTTATTTTGAGTCTAAACAGTCAATGCACGCGAACGTGGGATGACCCCCAAATTATTTGATCGCATATCGCTGATATGATCAACTCATAGGAGCAGGATAAACTCCGGATCTCATCTACGCGGTAATAGCCTGTAATACTTAAACTGAGAAGCGACAATAAAAGAACTTCATAATAATATGTTAGGCAAAGTTATACTAATATGAATCTTTCTCAGAGTTGACTGAATTGATTCTCGTCTACCATGAGGAATCTATCTAGGTACTATATACATCTTGAGTATCCCACTATTTCCAAATATAGACTGACTATTAGATTGCCCATGCGAACTGCTCAAATCTCCGTTCCATACATGGTTCTAAAATTGGCTGTTACATTGTCATGGACAATAGAAGGAGTGAAACAAAAAGGGAGTTGTGCGTAGGAAATTGGCCATCCGTCTTGTCTTGTTCATTTACGTGCTAGGTAGAGTGACTACCGCTCCACTCCTACTGGAGCTTAAGCACGGGTGGGGCCGGGCCGGATCAGGTTAACTACCATTAAGCACATCTACCTCGTCCCACCTAAATGACCGGACTACCTCAGAATTCACCCATGTGTTGAATCATGTCAAGCCCAACCGTCCAGAGAACCCTCTTTTGGCGCGCCGAAGCACAATTTCCTCCTCAGCCTCGGCCACCACGCGCCCGAGCCCTTGACTTGGCCATCCGTCTAGTCGCTAGTTGTAACATAATATATATGTAATTATTTAACGTCGTGCTAGCTCGCGCTGGTTGTAACAATTGCATGACTAAATTATTGCTCTTGATGCATCAGCCCCGGTTACTCGCTTGTAAACTACTCAACTTAAACATCATGATTCAATGTCTAAATTTAGGCTAATCTGTTTGTCATAATAATGGCCGCTTTAAGTATATATTATGACTTTAGTGCAAGAATTCAGTCATATCAACAGTTCTATTTAATCTATGACTACACAAGAACTTATGCTCGGATTAAGTTCAGGTCGGCAAGACCCAAGCTAACTGTGTCAAATCGCAGTGATCTAATATACTTGTAAGGTCTCAGTTGATGATGTGAAGAGTTACGGTTTGGTTCAGGTTATAAGGTTGATTCCTGAGCATATTGCATACCAAGCAGATATGTATCTGAGTTGACATGTCTCACGATAAAGTACATCTGCAGCTGTCATGTAATGTAGTAGCTAAAAAATACTGCTAATACGAAGCCATGATATAATTCAGTTTTCGCATTCTAGATCAAGTTGGACAGCGGATATGAAAAATATAGGAGTAAATATTTAGATAAATAAAGACACCGTAGCCCTCTAATTTTAAGGACAAGTCTTATAAAATGTAGTCTCGGAATCAATCTAGCCTCTCACCAAATAATTTCATACATGTTTTCTATGTCTATGACAATCGACACAGTTACAAAATTAACATGTCAAAGTCGATAAACTTACAAGTCCTTTCGGTCGACAGGCCGTATATATTAATGCCTCAGGTTATATACTCTACATGCCTTCTTCCCGGATTCTTTCATGCAGGGATACTCCTAAGGACTTCATTTGAATACGCACCTCGAGTGGTTCTATCGTTCAGGCCTCAAATGAATAGAGCTGCTAGTTTTTTGTGAAGTTTTTCCGCGCGCGCAGTTTTAATTGCTGCTATTTTATTTTTGTGGATGGAAGTTCCCGTTGAAGAAGAGGCTGAATTTCACGAGTAGATACTGACATGAATTGCTTTCTGCCATGGGCATAGCATTAGAAATATCTTCTTTCGTGACATAGAGGGCTTGGTGTGCAAGGTGTGGCCTGGGGTTAAGAACCCAAGGCGTTACCGTCGTTGGTTCAAGTCATACAATAAACATCAACCTAAATCAATTACCCACATAATCACTGGTTCACAAGAGATATTTTAAACCCCTATTTTACCTGGTAGATCTAGGGCCTACTTGTGGAGTAGGCTGGATCAAAGTCTACAGAAGAACAAACTGTTATCCCTGGCATTCTCAGTTATGATTGTATGTGAAAATCTCAAGAAGCGAGCATTAAATGTTGTGGTTTGATTCACCATATGGTTTTACTCTGGATTTTCTTACTTAGTTACTCATTTCAACCATCCACCGACAGATGATTGGCAATGCAAATGATTACCGCAGGCAAAACTTAACATTTGTTCTCAAAACAAGGGTTCTCAAATTATCGTGAGATGGTCTGATAGATAACATATCTCGATTCAATTAATATTTGGAAATCGCGATTACGTAAAGTGATTGAGGTGTTATTTAGACCATGTTTCATCAGGTAATGGAAGTCGAGTGATAGACGACAGATTCGGTAAAAATTCAAAATTAAGATTTCTAGTTATGTTGCCATCGTTTGGCTAGTTAAGAAAGTGTATGAAATGAAATAATTGGAAAGAATAGTACCCTGATAAAAAAGTATGTTAGTGTTGGGTATAACCTGGAAATGAACAGTATTAAATATAAAAGCAGCATTGAAGCATTTCTAATTTACAATCGTGCTATCATCTACCAACATTCTGCCTTTTGATTCTCTTCATTCCTAATCACAATTTTGAAATACACGCAGCTCTGTTAATTGAGACAAATTTGAACAAATGAAAACACTGTTGGGCATATTGCAGTTAGATTTTTTAGTTGAAACTTTTGGTAAATGTTGTTATGATGCTCTTCAACTTCGTCTCGAGATCTTTGCTCAGCGCACCCTCTTTGTCGATAGTAGCAAGAATTTCGGGCTCACTAGTCTTTAAATGAGAGATGAAGTCAGATTCCCATTGAAGAATCTTATTGACGGGAATAGTATCCAGATGACCGTTAACTCCTGCATATATTAAGGGTACCATTTCGTTGACAGCCATAGGTGAGTATTGCTTTTGTTTCAGAAGCTCGGTTAACTACGGCAAGGCTTAGTTAAAGAGTTACATTGGAAATCAAATACTTACCCGTTCACCGCGGTTAAGAGTTTGTTTGGTTGCAGCATCCAAGTCAGAACCAAATTGAGCGAAGGCAGCTACCTCGCGATATTGGGCTAAGAAAAGCTTGAGAGAGCCGGCAACTTGTTTCATAGCCTTTAACTGAGCTGCGGATCCGACACGGGACACAGAAAGACCGACGTTGATGGCTGGCCTGATGCCCTTGTAAAATAGTTCGGCTTCCAGGAAAATTTGACCATCAGTAATGGAAATGACATTAGTTGGAATGTAAGCTGACACATCTCCACCTTGCGTCTCGATGATTGGAAGAGCGGTCAAAGACCCTCCACCGTGTTTATTGCCCATTTTAGCTGCACGTTCAAGAAGTCGAGAATGGAGGTAGAAAACATCACCGGGGTAGGCCTCACGTCCAGGTGGACGACGTAGGAGAAGAGACATTTGTCGATATGCAACGGCCTGCTTTGATAAGTCATCAAATATGATGACAGCGTGTTTACCGTTATCGCGGAACCACTCTCCCATAGATGTCCCAGTGAAAGGTGCAATGTACTGAAGAGGTGCAGCTTCTGAGGCTGTAGCAGCTACTACAATCGAGTACTTCATAGCGTCATTTTCTTCAAGAGTCTTTACCAATTGAGCAACAGTTGACCTCTTTTGGCCGACGGCAACATACACACAGTAGAGTTTCTTTGACTCATCGTTTCCTACGTTCCATCGCTTCTGGTTTAGCATGGCATCAAGGGCTACAGCTGTTTTTCCGGTTTGGCGATCGCCGATAATCAACTCACGCTGACCTCTACCAATCGGTACCATAGCGTCAACTGACTTTAATCCAGTCTGTACCGGCTGATTGACCGATTGTCTTGGAAGAATACCAGGTGCTTTGAGTTGAGCACGGCGCTTCTCGCTTGTTTTTATCGGACCCTTTCCGTCGATAGGGTTACCCAAAGCATCTACTACACGACCGAGTAGCTCGATTCCGACAGGAACATCGACCTAATGAACTTGGTGAGTGGGGAGGCACTAGGATTTTGGGATTCATACAATTTCACCGGTACGCTTAACAGTTTCGCCTTCTTTCACCAATCTATCTGACCCGAAAAGTACAACTCCGACTTGCCCAGCCTCGAGATTCATGCACATTCCTTTAACACCAGACGCGAACCTATTGCAATTAGTAACAGTAAAACATTATCAAAAGTGATAGCGTACTCAACTAATTCTTCGGCTTGTACATTGGCCATACCGTGGACGCGAGCAATGCCATCTCTGGGCACAAAAATAAGTTAGCTTAAGACATTTTTTGACATTAAATTTCTAAAATTTTACGTACCCGACGGACAAGACGCGACCTGTTTCGGCAAGGCCTGCTTCTTCCTGTACACCTCGGATCTTCGCCTCAAGGATCGATGATACTTCTGTTGGGGTAGCTTTTGCTTCGACAGCATAGCATCGAGATGGGATTAGAGAATTTTTTATCGTTGAGGGTGCAGCAGATCGTTTCTAGTTGTACACAGATTAGTCGAAACCTTGGAAAGAAATCATGCTACGACGTCGAGCTTCTACATAACCAAATCTACCATAGGGATAATTCAGTGTGTTCTATAATCCTAGGTTGAATGAATTATTTATGGCAGGAGGCTAGTGGTAAGTGGATGGTGTTTTAGTAGATTAATCACATACCGCTGCAACTGTAGTAACTCGACCCGAGACAGAGATTGCGCCTACAGTCCTACCAGACTGTCGGATAGCGTTTCTGAACATCTTAATTGACGTCGAAAATTGAGATGGGTGCAAGCAGTCAAACTAGAGAACGGCTTGACACGTAAATATGAATAAACTGAGTTGGATGCGAGGTGGTCTGGTTAAGCTAGGATTGAAGAGGTCGGGGCATTTCTAGGTTCAATGATTAATTTAGGCCGATTACATAATGAATATAAATTAGCTCAGTCACATGATCATGGTCAAGATTATTTCAGCTGGAATTATGATTTCCTTGCTATTGTGTGGATTCAAAATAAATAATTTTCAACCTACATAGGCTGCCCATAACATGCTGCTGAATCTATCACCATGATTGACCATGTCGCTCTTCTCTGCCTACAGTCTAAGAGTATCTCTGCCTCGGGAAGTTTACTCCCTGTTATGCCTCCTAAACAATTGTCTAGCAATAGTGTCTCCACAAGTTTTCAATTAAATATCCATTCATGTGTGCCCTCGATATCTCCTCTACTCAGGTAACGAAAAGATGGCCATTCGCGGGTGTGTAACCGCTGGGAATTTTGTCAAAAACCACTTCGCGCGGGGCTCTGTTCCAACCGAAATCAGGGCTGAATCCGAAGAACTTGCTACCCTTTTGAAGCGTTACAGGAGCTCGGCCAACCTAAAGCAATAGACCTGTATATACCTAAGAGTATAACTCATACTTCCTAGCCTACCCCCTCCTCATCTGATATGTTACGCAGGAAAAACCAAAAGCTGTGGTGGACTTTCGGAAAATTATTGGTTGAGAGAAATTGCCTTGACGTAGCTGATCAGAGTACCCATAAGTCTCTATGGTCGTGAGGTTGTCAGGGAAATCATCTAGCTCGGATGTACAATCCGGATGGGCATCCGAGTTTTTATTGTTTTTTTAAATCCACTTACATCCTCTATAAGACTAAGACTTTGGGTATCCGAATTAATGGGTGGAAAGGTCGATATTTTTGACATATTGAAGACTACCTCAAATGATCGCTGATGCCTCCTTCATTTTCATTTCATGGGCCTCTATCTGGTCGCCGGCGAGCAGGATGTCTTGGGATATTAGTAGAGCTCCTCAGATTATTATTTTAACGTTTTCAACCGCCCTTTGTCTCCTCTTCCTCGACGTCATTATGGTCGTCGTGATCGGCGCATGAGTGATCTGAAGTTTGTTTTGAGGAAAAGGAAGATAACTCAGCTCACAACTGAAAAGATATGACTCAATCTTTGACCTGTAGTGAGAACTGTAGATTTGCAGGGCTAACTGCTGCAAGTTTTTTATATATTGTTCCCAAGTTAGAGAGAGAAATACTGAGCTACTGCTCATATACAGACCACAACAGTAAGGGCAACGACTGAACATCTAAACGCGGTGTCCTCTACGAACCTGGAAGTGAAATATTCTCCCAGAGCCAAATTCAGTCAAATTCCGCAACTCCCAAGAATTCGGACTACGATGCAATGATCCAAGGCTCTCTACGAAATCAATTCATCCGACCCAACGAGATCGATCTCCATCAACACCTCTTCGACTTTACAAGTACGACCTATTATATCCTCCTTTCAATGATCACATTTCTCATCGACTATTCTCTGGCCTCAGCCGGTCACCAAATACACTCCCACAACAATATTTATAATCGACGGAGGAAATAAAGCATGGTATATATATCTGAGAGACAGTTCTTTGGGATGGACGTGAGATGTATAAGGAAAAGTTGACAAGATGATGCGAATGAAGGATATAACCTCGAAGGGCGTGAATTTGGAATTTCGGCAAGAGTTTTACGAATTGAGCTTTTGGTGCGCCAAGACTTCGCTTGCGAGAGTGCAGCTGACACTACAGACACAAGTCAACGATGGAAGGTGTAGTAGTCCGCCTCCTGGTGGTGTTCTCCGGTATAGTCTGAGTAGCCTGGGCACCTACTCCACTTTGGAAGGAGACGCCTCAGACCATATTTCGCGCGGAGAAAAGTTGAAAGGTGATGGATGCATGTGTGGATAACTCAGGGGTTTTGAGACCTTTCCCTGGGTGGGTATTTACAGATGAGGGTTGACTTTGGGTGAAGGAAAAGCTTGTTGGAAATATCGCGCAATGAAGTAGGCGCAATATTAATGGAACGAAAGTAGAAGTTGACTAAAGGAGTGCCATATTTGGATTGCAGCTAAAAGTGTGGGAAGTGTGCGCTGTAAGTACAAGTGTAAGTGACACAGAGCCTAATCCACAGCATAAACGAGTGTGGCGCCATCTAGGCACAGAAAACCCCCCAATAACCTCCTTGTGACAACGCCATACAGCCGTTCATGTATCCAATAGGCAGCCTTAAGTGCTGCCCTATTACTCCTTCTAACCTCTTAACTACCGACATGATTTTGTCGGGAACCTAGACGAATTGGAGGGCCCGTGTGTCCACGACACTCTGTGTCTCCATTTCCAATAAAGCTACTATAACCTCGCAGTGGTACTTGCAAATGAAATCCGAGGCATGAGTGCTCTTCTTGTAAATTGAGTAATCCATTACACACTTCTCTGATATTTTGTCATAGCTAGATAGCTGCATACGCAATTATAATCCGATGCAAAAAAAAATGTCTTGCCCCCTAAAAATATCCCAAAGTTGAAGGCTCCTTGTATTGGCGAGACATTCTTGAACCAGATTCTAAGTAAAGAACCTGAGGATAAAGTTCACGGAACAGGTTTTCGGCTCACCCTCAACACTTGCACTTATATGGTGAGACCAGATAATGCACCAACTGAAATCGACATGGTTGAGGTCACAATTTGAGTTATGATGAGAAATTACTATAGTCTTAGTTGAATTGTGTTAGATAGTTATTTGTACTTAGGGAAGCTGGAGTTACAAAATAGTTCTCCAGCTCCACAATCTTATAATATAATTATAGCATTCCTCTCGCAACCCTGCTTCCTTCTCATCTTAGTACTTTGTCGACTTTCCGGCTCTCTCGTATTCACCACTGGGCATTTCTATACTCTCGGCGAACGGCGATCTTGATTTTGCCCACGGCACGCGGTAACACTCCTTGTAGTATCATAATCCCGGCATGCTAATGGATATCTTTTTTCTCTCGTTATAAGTGACAGCTTCATATACTCCCTCAAGTTGTAGAGCACCATTAAAACGACGGTTTCCCATAAGTCAAGACCCGAGTTTTGTATCTCATGAATTATTATCCTGCCTAAGTATGCATAGCATAGTAATCCGATAGTGAAAGATAACCCGTGATTGATGAGGAAGGTTTCTTTTCCATTCATAGCAGCTCCTCGATCGTTCATTATCACAAGATAGGTTGTAATAATATTGAATAATAGGACTCGCGTGAGAATAATTGGATTGATTTCGATAAGGGGTCGACAAATATGGATATGCTTGTGTTTCTGTTCATTTTTGACTTCGGCTTGGATAGAATTTTTCTTGGCTATATCGGATATGGAGAGCTTATTAATCTTTGACATCAGCATCGCCAAGACGGGAAGAAATCTTCTATGATGGTCGAGTGGCATCTATTGGTAAAAGATGAATTAATTTGGGGATAACCTTGATAAAACAGTGCCAGCTTTTATCATTCAGCTGAATAAGCAGCTTTAAATTCTGATGTTTTCAAACTTTGTTCTTTCTATCATCCCTGTTCGTAATCAAGCGGCGGCTAATTAGATCTAAGCCCTCAAGGAATTTAAAGTTGAATAATACCGTTCAGGAAGACATTGAATAGAGAGTCGGGAAGGGTTAACCTCCCTGGCGAGATAGAAAGGTGCTTGATAGCCCAATTATGATGAGCGATATCTCATAGCAGTAAAATCCAATGAATATTGAGTATAGAAGTAAATCGAGACAATTTACATTAAAAAGTCGAGGCTCTATAGTTACGTAGATTCGATCAAATTTTTTGATATTGGTAGAAAAAATATTTGACATAGCGTTCCTAATTACCACTATCTTCAAGTTCCCTCAACGCAGTTTTTTTGTCGGCATATATCTTAATTAAATTTTCATCTTCTAGCGCCATAGCAGCCGCTTTAACACCAGCTTCTTTCTTTCCATTCGCTTTCCCACTTCCTAGGAGTTTGTTGTTCTCCCCCCAACCATTTAAATAAACACCCATTGTAAATAAAGCTAATTTGGTTGCTGGATCCTTACTTGGAGGCATTAATTCCTTGTAAATAAGCTTCGCATTTCTGTGTCCTATAAGTTTTTGTAGCTTCTCTTTTGCGTTCAATTGTATAGGACGATTATTAAAAGCTTCGGCAACCTTTTCTGATGTTAGGTTTCCGCGCAATTGCCAAAGTGGACTGGATATAATTTTTTCAGATTTTTCTTCCTCTAGTATGGTATCCGCAATAGTAACGCCCCAAAGATCTTTGAGCCAATCGCAGGCTTTTAAAAGCCCATGGACTGGATCAGAAAGAATAATAGCAGCAACATATGCTTCAAAAACATCACCCAATACCTTAACTTTGGTGAGTGGAGTAGAATGAAGTAGTGCCCAATCCATTTTTAATCGCTTGTCAAAATTATAGTGCAGTGAATAGTTAGCTAGAGTAATATTTTTTATAAGCATTTCCCGAATTTGAGATTGCTTTCCAGGACTTAAATTTGGGAAAGTCTGTGATATAAGCAAGGTGGCAATTAACTCCATATAGGCATCTCCAATCAACTCTAGCTGCTCGTAATTTAATGCACCTTTGTGTCCAGCTCCGGCACTGCAGTGTATGAACGCCGCGGCTTCTAACGTAGGATCCATAATTTCAGGCAATAGAGGAAAATTTTTAAGTAAGCCTGTTGATTTCCAGGGACTAATTGAGAGAGGTGATATTATTTTGGGAAGTTTAGAATCTTCATTCAGTAGGAGTTGACGATTAAAATTGGTATTAGATTCATCGTCTGTTATTAGCTGTTTTTTGAGCAAACTAGAACGAAGCTGTGAACATTGGAATACAGAATCTTCTCCCAAAATATCGGTAGTTGTTTCTCGAGAGTTTTCATCTAAAATATCCTCAAGATCTCGCAGTAAATTTGCAATCTGGGATATCTTCCGTAATTTCGTAACATTCTCAAAAGGCGAATATGAATTTATTGACGTCTTCCGCCGCTTTTCAGTGCTACCTAGAAGGCTAGAGTCGCATGTCTGCTTTTGATTATTCTAGTTTTCTATTAGATTCGAGCATGACGAACTTTTTCTGTGGTTCTTACATTAAAATTATAAACTGGAGTATCTTTTTGTCCGTCGGTATTAACTGTATCCAGCTTTCTCTTGTTTCCTAAACTCATGGTGATTATGAAGAAAAGTGACTGATGGTTATTAAGGTTATGATATGAAGAGAAAAACTACAGGCGTGTTGATTCACGGTTAGACGAAGAAAATTAGAGTATGAAATATATTGATCTATTCTGATGATGACCAAATTAGAATCTACGTGCAAGAATGGTGAGAAACATCCTATTGTACACTAGTTTGACCTCTATTTGAATATTCTACTGAATTTGGGTGTGTTTCTATTGCACTGCTTGAGTCTATGACTGTCTGGCACATTGGGCTCCTCTGTGACCCAGACCACACCTTGTACAGTGCTCCTTGCCTCTCATGTTCCTTTAAAGATCATTGATATATTGCCCGTGATGAATGGCCATTCAACTATGTGTTTACAAGTGTAACTTGGCCACCTTATCCATGAAACCTTCTACCCCCAAAACAATGGTAACAATGGAAACTGCATGCGCGGGAAAAAGTCCCAAAAAACCTGCAGCCCCAGCCACGCAAGTTCTTGACACCGGGACCGCATGAGGTGTGCATATCCATATGTATCTCCCTTCTTTGTAACAGTCGAGGTCGACTTGATCCAATCCGTCGTCGCTGTATCGGGTGCTGGGTACGCTCCAGAAACTCATCGGACAGCTTCACCTCCATGATCAAGGGTTGGTGATGCGTAGGGCTCCGACCCTACCTTCTGATCTGATCGTGGTTAGCTTCGCGATAATGGTGATAGGGGGATGTGGTGAGAGATGAAGACGATACAGACCGCGAAAGCGATTGGGAATCCTCGTCGAAGTGAGGACTTGGTTACTCATCTCCGTTCTTCAGACTCTATTGTGAGAGCTGGATGTTCGGAGGGTACACCACTGACAGTTGTTGAGAATTGTCCCTCTCAGATACCAATAGGTCCAAGCATAATTAAATAGTACTAATCTAATAGTCTTATCTGAGATCATGACTATAGAGAACCTGTAAAATCTACATGAAAGAGACCTTTTACATATAGTATGTCCTGTAGTGTTCATATTATATTTTATTCTTCTAGAAAGTAAGGTATGGAAGTGTAAGAAACCGTTTGATTACAACAGCCGCCAAATATTTCGAATTTTCAGAAATCCCAGAAATCCCAGGAGGGCGAAACTCGACCCCTGTCAGTGGTATCCTCTACGAACCTCCAGCTCTCACTGTAGACTATGCAGAGCCGAGATTGAATAACACCTCATCATTTTTGAGCTGGGTTATCCCCCCCTCAGTCAAAGATAAGTTTCCGATAACACACGAGACGACCAAGACGATGATAATGATGCTGGGAATGAGCAAAGATAATGCGGTATCAAACGCTACAACGGTAGTCAGAGGAGACCTCGTTACATCACAACATGTGCTACCCAACGGCGAGCAAACAAAAAGCCCACGAAAGCAAAGTAAAAGACCCTTCCGCCCTCAAGAAAAGCAGATTTCGATTCGTCTACAATATCGTCCCTACTAATCTTAACTTCCGAATACACTAGCCAGGAGGGCATCTGAAATACATGAGTTACCCGACGACCCCACGTCCGTAACGACTTTTGGCTGCTAGGCTAGGCTCCTTCACGACGGTCACTCTCGACCAAGACTTTTCTGACATCCTTTCACGACCTTTGGTTTGTCCTGTGGCATGAATCAGGGGAAAAGGAAGGAGGAGATTAAAAAGGCTGAGAGTGGTTTCCCTGTTACACAAAAGCCTATATCGTTCAGCTAGCCAGCCTCTTTGAAAGATTCAGAGGGATAGCTTTGTCATCGGAATTAGTTCTTGTTATGCCCAGCTATGTAGTATGGTAGATCTAGTAGCTGTTACATAGGTAGTTTTTATGGTAGTATGGTATAATGGCGCATGAAGGAGATCCAGTCTCTACACAACGGCATTCTAGATAGTACTGTATGCAGTGTAGGAGATACGTTGTTGATGTTGGTCGAATGGAATAGCTGCTTAGTGGGAACATACTTTGGTGCGCTGCATACTGGTTACGTGATCGATCTGTGAGTGAACTAGCTAGGCGATAAGAGATGAGCTTCTCCCAGTTTGCATCAAATAATTCACATTAGAGCATGCATCTCCTCATGGACACATAACCCACTCGAGACAGTAGATCGCTGGTTCAAATCCGGCAAAATACAACCACATTTCTCGCGGCGCTGGTATGCATGGATGACGAAGGCATGCTTGGATAAATAAAGGGTCTGGAATTCCCGTTGGTGGGTACTTACGGAGGTGGGTCGAATGTTTGTGTAAGCAAGCATACCTTATAGTGGTATTTGCAAATGAAATCCAGAGTATGAGCGTCTCTAACGTCAAAAGAGTCATCCAAAATGCATACATAGCACCGGTCATGTGTCATAGCTAGATAGCTGAATACACATTAAATGATTTTAAAAAAAAAACTTCACCTCTTCAAAGCCAGTAAAGAAAGGCAAAACTGAACACCTATACCCGGTATCCTCTACGCATCTGGGAGTGAAATATTCTCCCAGAGCCAAGTTCAGTCAAATTTCGCAATATCAAAGAATTTGGCCCACGAGGCAATGATTCAAATTACTCCACCACGTCAAATTTTCACTCCCAACGAGTTTGACTTCTACCTGAATCTCATCAAGTCTACAAATACGACCAAGTACATCCTCATTCCAATGACCATACCACTCATCGACCCTCTCTGGCCTTAGCTGGTCACCAAATACACGCCCACGCCGATATTTACACCCGACGTAGGAAGCAAAGCATGGCGCACAAATCTGGGAGACAGTTCTTTGGGATGGACGTGAGATGTATAAGGAAAAGTTGACAAGATGATGCGAATGAAGGATATAACCTCGAAGGGCGTGAATTTGGAATTTCGGCAAGAGTTTTACGAATTGAGCTTTTGGTGCGCCAAGACTTCGCTTGCGAGAGTGCAGCTGACACTATAGAAACAAGTCAACGATGGAAGGTGTTGTGATCCGCCTCCTGGTGTTGTTCTCCGGTATAGTCTGAGTAGCCTGGGCACCTACTCCACTTGGGAAGGAGACATCTCAGATCATATTTCCCGCGGAGAAAAGTTGAAGATGATAGAGGCATGTGTGGATAACTCAGGGTTTTTGAGACGTTCCCCGGGGTGGGTATTCAGGGATTAGGGTTGACTTGGGGTGAAGAAACAGCCACCTTAACTTCGCAGTTGTACTTGCAAATGAAATCCGACGCATGAGTACTCTTGTAAATTTAATCGTCTATTCTGAACTTTTTCTTTGATATTAAGTGATCGCTGGATAGCTGCATACGCAATTAAAATCTGATGCAAAAAAAAGCCGATAAAGAAGAATTCTTCACATTTCAGTGGTGCCGGTGTAAACGCTCAGTATGCTCTGCACATCTGGGATAACCAAGAAGAATCTCATCCGAATCAAGGTCGGATTAACCTCAACCACATCCAAAGTCGACAACTTCTCGTCAACGTCGGACCTATCATTCTCACGCGAGTCCTCCACCTCAATCTTACTACATCACCTCGCCTCAAATATCGATAATGGCGTTACTCCAATTACAATCGGGCATTTGCCTCGTCAAAAACTGGCCATTTCCCACTACAAAATTACGATGCTATGTATACCCGCGAGGAGGAAATTAAGACATAATCTACATATCTCGTGTCTGGGTCTATGGGGGACCATTTCTCCAATGGGGCTTCACATCTTGAGGAAGGATAGGTAGCTGGGAAGTGGGGCGAACTAGTGATCAGGTCATAAATTGACTTGCTGGAACATATTTTTCGAGTATTTTCGACTTAATGGTGCCTGTGGGCGCAGAGGCAACGATGGAAGGTGTTTTGGTTCGCCTCCTGGTCGTCATCTCCCCGAATTAAAGTCTGGGTAGCCTGGACACCTACCTCCCTCGAGAAAAGGAGGACTGTGAGGTCATATCTCGCGCAGCGGCTATATACAAGATGACAAAGGCATGTTAGGGTAGCCAAAGGTTTTTCCTGTTTTCCCTTTGGTGGATACTAACGGTTGAGGGAAGGGTGAAGGTCCCTAGCAATAAGGTCTCGAGTGGTATTAGCGAATGCATCCATTACATGAGTAGCCCAAATGTCAAACTGAGTCATCGTCGTATATAGTCTTCGAGGAAGCTAGTCTTCTCCGTATCATGCTCTTTGAATGCTGGGATTTTGCCCGTCACGAGCAAACTTTCATTCATTCACCTCTGCATGTTAATGAAGATATCACTCCACGTACTATCTTAGCTGTTCCAGCGCAAATATACATTTCCAAATCATATTTCAATCATTATGGCTCTGATGCCAATTTCAGGAGGGCCCTACATCCAGTGAGTTTTACGATCACTCCAACTGATATGCGCTCGCAAATGAGATGTAATTTTTCGATTGGGAAACAAGAACTATGTGTTCTGACCCTAGTCTGTGCAAGGAAGCAGTGGCTTCATAGACAAGACTCAGTAATTATATTGCATGGAAATATTGGTGCAAGCTCATATCAATGCATGACTCTACTGTGTCATCCTAATGAATGGGGCCTAAAGAATTAAATATTATCAGCGCACATTACAATAGCACATAAGCACCCGTTGGGCATGGCAGTAGAAAAAATTCGACATGTATAAAATTAGGCGTATTTACTATATACAGTAAGGTCCCTGTTAAGACGATGTAATCGGGGCCATAAAAAATATCGGCATATAGAGGACATCGCTGTAAAGGATATGATTATCTAATCCAGCTATCTATGCTACTTTTTACCTTTGATGCCTCTTTAATACTCCCAATTGCCTTCTTCAATCGCTCTAATACTCTCAAGGTCAGGCCAGTTTCCAGCTTGCTGTCGTAGGGCAGTAGTACTTAAGACTTCGTCGAGTTTCGCAAAGTTATTGCTCAAGGACTCGGAGACTGTGGACTGGCTTAGTCGATGGCCGTACTCAGCGAAGAACCACTCAATCCACTGTTTTTGTGTTGGTTTTGGGACCTGGCGGTGCGCCCTTCGTCGCAGAGCACGTCGTTTCTTTACAGAAATTCCCTTTTTTGGGGGCATTATTAGAATCAATCTAACCAAAGAAACTTAGTTAAGACGATATTCAGAGGTTAAAGAACGATAATCGAGTAATCGGTAAATGTATGGGAATGAAGTTCGTTCCATAAATAAATCGTATAAACGGCAATATCGGCTTAACCATGATCGTCTTAACAGGAGTCTTCCCGTAAGTAGGCTATGCATTCATCTTTAAATGCCTATTTATGCTCAGATAGCTTAAATTCATCCACCTGAGTAACTACACGAAGATTCCCATCTATCGAACATCGTATTCACAACAATTTGGAGAGAAAAAACCCTCTGGGTCTTAGACCGAATAAACACTTGTTAAGGGTGGTGATATTAGATTGAAGTTGTAATCGCGATAGAAGACAAACCAAATTAATCAAGTCATAGGTATTCTTCGCCTGTAAACAGAGAATGCAACTTTTCGTTTATGTTATGCTTGGAAGAGACAAAAAAATATTTTTTCCAACTGCTCGATTTCAAAAATCGAGACGCCAGTGGATGCGGGGCTCTCCTAGAATTGACATCAGAACTAATTCCGAAGACAGAGCTACCCTTCTGGATCTTTCAAAGAGGCCAGCTAGCTGAGCGCTGCAGGCTTTTGCGTACCCAGGGAAACCACTCCCAGCTTTTCTAGCCTTTTTTCAACTCTTTCCGAAGGTTGTGATGAAATATCTGAAAGTCTTGACAGAGTTTGTTTGCTGTCTAGCAGCTGAGCCCAACTTCTTCGTGTAGTCTTGGATACTAGATAGTGCCATAGACTCGTTGACAATAGATGTCCTCCCGGTTAGTGTAAGATTCAAATTCGACTCAATAAACGCGCAAGTGAGCGACTGGGACTTGCAAGAGACAACGCTCATAAATTCCAAGTTAGCCTTCCTGACTACTATAAATCTGCATAGCCAACTAACTTAGTGATAATTATTAGGTTCATGTTTTAAATTATTTTTTATTATCATAAACTCGGTTCTTAATTCTTCTGTTCTCATCATAATTACCATTGTCTTCTAGTTACATTTCTAAAGCAAAGGGATAGCTATGATGGACCTGGTGATAAGAATAGCGAGACTTTAGTAAGGTAAGGTAAAAGTTGGAGATGTCCACATTTCAACTTCTTCCGTGATATTGAAAGCTTGTGCAAAGAAGCTAAATAGGAAGGACTTAGCATAAATTTAGGGGAGCTTTGGTTTGAATTTTTCTCACCATCTCTCCATTTATGTTATTATTTTAGTAAGGGGTGTCTAATATTTTGCAAATCTTTCCTGAACAACTAAATCTGCAGATTTTATTAGGTATTCGTCGTGCATGAGCTCGGCAAAAGAACGGGATGAAGCTAACATGTTGAGCACTAATTATTTGTCAGAATGGTAACAGGAACGAAACCTGCAGTTAGACTAGGTGTGCAACCATCTATGCTGTGGTAATTAGGAGTTTGCCTCTTAAACCTCTGTCAAATTTGAAAATAATGGATCGATCCCTACATCTACGTGGGTGTAATCGAAATGTGCTAGGAGGCTTACAGTGGAGTGCGTTCTGCAGTTGTCTTATGTAGCTCTACTAATTTGGACTTGAGATTTATCATATATCTAAATAGCAAAGTCGATCTTGCACACTTCAACCCCTCAATTGGCGATTTCTGTGAGCAGTAACTTTCTCTAAGGCAACTAAGCCAGATCGATATCGTAAAGATGTGAACTATGGTTAGCGACGCCCTTAAATGGACGTACGACTCCACCTCAAAAATGTCGGTACGTAATGCACAGGTAGAAGCCTGGTTGATCACCAGTGGCAGATTTGAACTGGGATTGTTGAGAATTTGATCCACGGTGTAAGCTTTAAACACAAGCAGAAATAATTTGTGCCAAGGATAACGACGGCAATTTAGTGATACGACCTATCGCGATCAACCGGCTTAGCTGTACAAGGCTAACTATATTGCGAGCGAGCAAATGGTGCGCTTGAATTTACAGGCAGAATTCAATGCTCTAATTATTTTCATCGAGGGCAAGAGTTACATACAGGTTCCGCTATGTTGAAGCTAAAATTTTCGCAAACCAGACAAGATATCTTTACAGCAATTTCTACAACGCGAATGACTTTGTCACGCCTTACTTTGAGGTCATGCCTATTGATGCGTTGTCCACAACCCAGTTCCTAGCATCTTCACTGCCCGGTGGACTAGGGATCCTGACTTAAAAAGGAGAGCATGCACATCTCGATGAGTCCATCATTCACAACCCAACTATCCACTGGCCCAAAGCCATTGTACAAAGCAGATTTGATGAGTCTGCGTATGGAAGAGTGTGACCAGTTATCTTTAGTCCCCATGCGACAGCGTGACAATGTTATTAGCATCACCTAAAGGTTGTCTCGACGACATGGCGATATTACTTTGGATCCCAATTACATTGAGTTTTGACCCATAGAGACGTTAATACCGGGGGTAATAGGTCAGCGTTAAAGGTACATATGTGATTGATAAAGGAGCTGAATTTTATTCATCGATTGTAAGCGACTTAAGTGCGCGGCTGATAGATTACCGTAAGCGTCTCGGCAGAAATATCTTCTGTTGCTCTTCCATGGGCCGTTGTGGAGGAAGCAACTGGAGCACCCCAGATCTTCGGGATCGAGGAGGAATACCGGATATAGTTTGTTATCCGGCGTATTATGTCCCTCAAAGGATGCAGGAGATGGCAACATAAGCTGGACTACGGGTTTGGGTCTCCTTTGTTCACCATTTCTGTCCCTTCCTAGACCAGAGACTTTCTTTTGCTCTCGGCAGAAAGCATCGCGGATGATATGACCAATGATGTCAACGAAGGCAGCAATGAGGCCGGCTATGTTCAAGGGGATTAATACCTTGCATTCAATTATCTGAACCCCAGGGTGCCAGGTAGGCTGATCAAAGTGGGCCTATGGAAACGCGATGCTTGCCAATTGGAATTTTACGTCCAGGGCACTCTAGCTTATCTTATGCTGGGGAAAGTTTCCGGAAAGATGTGGGATTAGTGTGGTTGCGGTCCGCTGCACATCTGAAGCCGTCTATCTGCAGCTTACCCACGATCTATGAACGAACTTCCTACGATTCTAACCTCAAACCCGTCGGAAGAGCCCAGCGTACCTTCGAATTCTAAACATCCTCAGTGTCATCCTACAGGCAACTTGCAGAAAGCTGAACTATTGCGCCCCGGCAACATCGAGAGCTAAATCGGCTTCCGATATAGTACTGGAGTTGGTGGCAAGAATAACAAAAAACTATATCTGTTCCACAGATGTCTGCATCAATCCTTGATTCTCGATATCTACCAAAATTTTTGACGCTAGAACTAATCTTATAGACCTTTCAAAGTCTTGTCTGCTGTAAATTGGTGAAGAGAATCCACATGCCTTGATAAATTCGGCTCTACATACACCCATCTATCTTGAATAAAGATAAATATTTTAGTTGCACAGAGTCCTGGTTATTTGGACTCAAATCAATTGGCTTGGAATCTCGTTTTCGAGTCTTTGTTAAGAAAAACTTTCCACCCTGCAAAAAACGCCAGACGCGTTGCCATAAAGTCGCGTCCCCTGTGTCAATTCGAAAATTCTACTAAATCCACAACTATTCACCCAATTTTTTGTCAGCCCGAAAATATTCGTCATCTCATCATCAGAAAACAAGTCACATCAGAGGCGGGTCAAGTTCTTAGTAGCTCAACTTGAAGCAGAATTTGACGACTCGTCCGTAGTGTTTAAAAAATTGTACATCTAAAGAATAAGTTGCATCAGATTTAAAATCACGTCGAGCTTGTCGAGGTCACTATAATTGCAGTTTCGATACGAATCAAAAAATTTGGTTTGCAAAACACCGCTTAGGTGATCTCAGGACAACGCAGTGTTTGAAGCCTTCATCTTATACCAATCATCACCTCGTGGAAGCATATAGCAGATCTAGAAACTTTATCTCACATAAACACCCAAAGTACAAAGTCATGGTGTCAATTATGACGCCACAAAATTGTAACGTTACCTCTAGGTTGGACCCAGAACAGGCTCAAATTCCACTCAAAATGAAAAAATCATCTAGCGCTGGCCTATTTCGACTCTTCAGTAAAGGAACAAGTAGCGAACCAAAGTATAATTTATCTCCTCCTCAGCAAGAAGATCAGAAACTGTCAGTTTCAGCAGAACTACGCGGATTAGGCCTAGAAGTTATACCATGCAATTACATTCGACCTCGTGGCTTGAAACTTGAGCCAAGAAAAGAATCTACTCCCACACCGCGAAACTCAACGTATAGGTCCCATAGACCACCTCCTATAGTGACGACCAGCGGCGTAAGCCTTGAGTTTACTAATGAGTGCAATCAATCAATTTTACCGGCCACCAAGGAAAAGAGTGAGCTAGGTCTCCGTCGTGCCTCCAATAACCCTTTTCCAAACGGCCATCTAGCGGTTGACCCGCAATTGGCCAATAAAATGTGTACTGGATCAGCACTCAAGTCCCCAAACTCACCTCTAATGTCGCCTGTATCACTCATACATGAGACAGGTCTCCCTGCATTTGCTAGCTTACGTGTCCAGTTTGTTGTCGGAAGAATTGCTATGGACTTTGGATCGTCAGCTCGATGGACTGATTGGTTAAACTCGTATTCAAACGTGAGTAAAACTCTGAATACAATTGCCCGCAGCTTAAAAAAATTCGGCGTGAGTTGAATACTTCAGCTAACCTAGTAGATAGGGGGAGTTTAATATTCAAAACCCACCCGCACCCCCACCTCTGAGTCCAACATTTTCCCACCTCCCCGCTGCCTACCCGCGTGATGAAGAACAGAGATGCCTGTGCAGTAAAAAATTCGATCTTGTTTGGCGAGAATCTATGCAAGAGCGAGTTGGAGCACATGTGAGAGCTGCATTAAAGAAATTTGGAACTCGTTACGGATCCATGAGTTTTTTTGATGAAGAGTACGAACTTTTTATAGCTGAAAATGGATACAACGTATCACGTATTCAAAGAAGCAACAGTATCGCAGCACACGCCCTATATTCTACTGAAGTCCTTTCCGTCATAGATACCCAAAAAGTATGTTAAATCAGCAACAAGTTCTCTGCTAACCCTTGATAGGACTGGCGCTTTCAAAGCAGTCCAATTACCATTGGCAAACCATACATTAGGTTCTTTGCAGCTGCTCCCTTGGTGACTCCTAAGGGTGATATAATTGGCGTTCTCTCTATATTCTCACGAACCCCTCGCAAGTCATTTACTCACGATCAACGTCGGCAGCTAGCTGAATGTAGTGCGGCCTTGATGGCCGATATCAGTACCCAATTAGACAACCCAAAAGGCACCCAATCTCTACGCTTATCACAACCGTCGATTCTATCCGAAATAGCTCGAAATTCCAATGTAAATGCGACGTCAATCCAACAAGTAAATTCACTAATCATGCAAGATCCGTTAAATCAGACAAATACTGGAGATAATGTTGACGCTAATCTCATATCGACAAAAAAACTTGAAAATAAAAAAACCAATTCACCAGCTCTTAGATACCACCAACCTGACTCGACGGAAAACTTAACAGGTCTAATTTTCAGTACCAAACCGTTACAGGGATGTTCACAAGTCCCAGGCGAGCAAACACCTCCATCTTCTGCAAAATCAAATTCTGGTCTTGGTTTCGAAGTCATTAGAACTACGGCTATAAAGATTGACCCCCTTACTTCCAACAAGAGGGAGTATAGTGTGCGTGGTGATAGCATTTCATCATGTAACGCGGCTATCGTTCCTCACAACTCTTGCCATGCTCGCTTACTTGGCAATCCGAGTGAACTAGCTACCAACAAAAATGGAGAGTTAATTAGCGGTGGAATTGGAGGCTCGCTAGGAGAAGGCCATCCGAAATTGTCACTATTACCTCACACACCTGTAAATTCGGATCCTGTCGGTAATTCTATCCCCTCAACACATGAGAAAACAACCTCATCGGATCTACGTTTACGCAACTTTACTCGCCCACTCTCTCCACTAACCACATCTTTACAACTCACTGCTCATGACTCAACCAATAATTTTCACCGCCCGGACTCACCACCTCAACCTAAAAATGAGGTCAGTGTCGAAGACTTTATGTTACTCAGTGATGGTGATATAATTGAATTTTCTGACGATCTTGTACCGGTCGAATCAAAACTACCAGAGAAAAACGAAATCCCTTTAATGCCAAACAGCTGCGTTAATACAGACTCAAATTTTCAGAAAGAAACGACTGGGGACCCGATTAGCTATCCATATCAAAATTGTGGAAAAGAAATTTGGATTTCAGATGACACTTGTCCTCCAGTCAATTCTCAAACGGAATGCAAAGATGTGACGAGAAAAAACGAAAATCGCTCATCTTGGCAATTTCCTAGACCGAGAACTGACACTATAGAAACCTATTGTACAGGCTCGTCTTTTCCTACGAGTGGAGATGAAAATTATAGTCCAAAATCACCTTCATCTTCTGTATGTTATCCACCGATCCCACTTAATTGTGACCCATCATTTCAAAAAAATCCTTTTTGCGACGTCAGTAAAACAAAGTTGGAGTCTACTCAATTTGAGACTTTCGAAACTGGATCATCCAAAAATAACTGTCAGGCTGTAAGCAATTTTTCCCAACTACCATTCGATGAAAGTTCTCGATGTCATCCATCACCATCACTCCACGATAGTCGATGTCCTTCTCTGTCCCTCTCGATGAATAGTGCTGCTGTGCACAAAAGGCCTACGCAAGAAGCCGTTAGCCAGTCCGCAATATCTCTTGCTTCTCACTGCAAATTAATGGGCTATAGTCTAATGTACATTGCCAAGGTGTATCCATACCGCAGTAGTCGATACAATACAAACGAGCCTGAGATAAATGCCCAAAAGCTTGACGATATCAAAGTACAACTTCTGACCGCCCATGGCCTGACTGATACTATCCAACTATGTCCACTAATACACCTTAGAGTCCTGCGAAGTCGAGGGCCCACTACTTGGGAAGATCAGAGTGAACATAATGAATTCAAAAAAGGGATATTAATGGTAATTAAATCCGAAGGGGGGCCTCTTAGACAACGCAGCCGAGGGCTAATATTGGGAGCTTTTCGTGAAGCTCAAGCAAGCTCTGATCTCAAACCTCAGGATACGGCTATGGAAATGAAAGCTCTTGTTGCTTTGGCGCAAAATCTGAAGCTAATACTCACGACATCGTCGAGCTCGCAATCCTCACAAATTTCGAACATGTCTCCTGAACCAAGCGCTTGGCTCCCAAACGATAAGGTACAGAGTCCCTGTATAGTGTGAATCTTTCAGCTCAATGGAATGCGAAGTCAAAAACTTTGCTGGGAACAAATCTTGTTATTGACCTGCATGTAAAGCATATCATTGCATCATAACACACCTGTACGAAAGAACAAGCAAAGAGCGATAATAAACAAGAGTAATTGAAGCCTTTTACTTACTATTCATGTAGATTTGCAGGTTTACTCAAAAAATCTCAATCATCGCAAACTTGCTCAGATAAAATTTAAGATTCGGAACTACCTGTAGGCTTTAAAGGGTAAAACTAATGAAAAATATTCGGATAAATTATTAACCTAGTAACTCATTAAGATGCAGTCCTAAAATTAAGGATGTCATACTTGGTCGACTAATGAGGAATCTTACTCACGTTACCACAGTAATTTAACATAGGACTGGAAGAATTTATTCACATGTATGATAATCTTTCATTGGACGGCTTGGCAAAAGACGCCTATGTTGCTATGAGACGAGGTCTATTGCGAGGGCAAATATTAATGTAAATTTAGTGTAGGTTTCGGTTGGGAACTTCAATGATAGCTAGAAAGGTCAGTCTTATGTATAAAATTGTTAAATTTTATTGCCAGAATTTCATGCTCTCACTTTGTAGCTACCTTTGTAGATCATCTATCAGTTCGTAGTCGAGATCGTTACAGCAGCTGCATCTCTCTAAACTACATTTGAGAGTTCTTTCAGAAACTACTCTCAACGTAGCGGGTGAAAGTCGCAAGAGATAGTTGTTACTCATACTAACTTTACGATGCAAATGGGACGGAAACCTACCAGCTCAAGCCTAACTTTTCTTATTTTCTCATCCATTAGATTTTAATTGGGTGTATAGCTATCTAGCAATGACACAATATCAGAGGTAAAGTACAGAATAGATGAATCAACACACAATCAGAGCACTCACGCCCCAAGTTTCATTTTAAAGTATCACTTCGAAGTTGTGGTGGCTTTTTCTTCACCCCAAGTCAACTTTCATCCGTGAATAGGGAGACTTTTCTCAACACATATCAGAAGTGTCCCCTACGAACCTCCAGCTCCAACTGTAGAGTCTACAGAGCCAAGATTGAGTAACAAAGTCCTCACTTCGATGAGGATTCCCAATCGCTTACGCAATCAGATGGTAGGGTCGGAGCCCTATTTGTCACCAACCCTTGATCATGGAGGTGAAGCTGTCCGATGAGTTTCTGGAGCGTACCCAGCACCCGATACAGCGACGACGGATTGGATCAAGTCGACCTCGACTGTTACAAAGAAGGGAGATACATATGGATATGCACACCTCATGCGGTCCCGGTGTCAAGAACTTGCGTGGCTGGGGCTGCAGGTTTTTTGGGACTTTTTCCCGCGCATGCAGTTTCCATTGCTACCATTTTTACCCTTTTTGGGTAGAAGGTTCCGTGGAAAAGGTGGCTGAATTCCACGGGTAAATACTGAGCTGAACGACTATTCATCACGGGCAGTATATCAATGATCTTTCAAGGAACATGAGAGGCAAGGAGCACTGTACAAGGTGTGGCCTGGGTCAGAGGAGAAGCCCAATGTGCTAGATAGTCATAGACTCAAGTAGTACAATAAATATCCCCCACTCACTCTCTGCTACAAGAAGCTTGGACACTTTGATGTAAATCTAGACTTAGTACGAATGGGGGTTCAGATTCCTAGGTGTGATCATCAAGATCAATTAGATTGATCCGATTGCATATTATTCAGCTTAGTTAGGCGACATGAGGTATAGTGGTATCCCAAATGCAGTGGCTAGGAAAAACTACCTTGCGATAATTGAGTGACTGGCTGTTGCCAGATAACTGGGAGTTTGGGATCACTAAAGCCTTGGGAGTCTATGTTTAAAGATAAACTTATTTGTAAATGTTAAATGAAGTTGACAGAATATTATACACTAACTCACATTTAGAAGAGAGTTCGATATCCCATACAACTTTCAATAAAATCTTGTCGGAAATTGTACACTTGTTCTTCGAGATATTTCCTCCTAGAAATCCTTGACAATGCCAACACACTTCGATACAGATTCATAAGTTTGAGATGTAGATGCCTATCTAACCTTTACTCAAGGTCGAGACTAAGCTGCAGAAACCGAACTTCCTTTATGAGAATCATCAGGTATTGCAGAATATTTTAACTTTGCCTTCATTTTCCTTCGTAGTTAAAGGAATAGTGAGCGCTTCCGCTCTGGCGGGCCGAGTTGTTTGTATTTATGGAAATTCTAAATGCTCTCTCGTTGCTGTACATGGGCTGTCCAAGTCCTTCCGATGCCCGTTTGATGTTGTGGGAAGGTTGTAGGTTGGGGCAGGGCCGCTAAAAATAGTCAAATATGCTCTCACTTTTATTAGTCCTAGTATCCCAGACTTTTAAAACAATTCTATAAATATGTTATGCTTAAGATCAAAGCTATCGTCATCACCTGTGATAGGCTACGATAACTCGATGAAGCAAGGGTATGAAGTCCGAATATTGTCTATTTTTAACACACAAGAGAAAATGAGTAATCCTGGGGGAAAGGTACTGTTATACTGCGCGTTCGTGTGTAGGGGTTGCGAAGTGGCTTACGGTGACTTGGAACTCAAAGCACGCCTGTGATAAGTATCACGGGATGCCACTGGAGTTCGTTAAGTCAGATGTAAATTGTTCGTTCATAATCCGAACAGGAAACTCCTAATGTTACAAGCAAGCTAATACATGATTACATAATAAGTTACCACTAATCTTCTGAACCCAATATCCCGTGACCTGGACACACAATACCTCTTAACTATCGGTAAAGTCTATACGCTTGATGTCCGACGACCCCGGTAGAAGATCATGAGGTTAGCTCCTCAAGGAGTCTGCGCTCAATTAGCATGGGTACTAATTCCTTGCCTGGACCTTGTAGACTAGGGCAAGAAGTCATTAGTCTACTATAAATCCAGCCTTCTCCTTACAAGGATTAGGCGCAGCTTGTAACATCAATATGGTACTCTGAGTCTGGGATAAACATTTTGGAATGCTTTGAAAACTCTCTCGAGGAATTGGTGGGAGGGAGAGATGCTGTGGGAAGCATGGCACAATGAGCCTTTTTTGAGTTTGTGTCGGTGGTCACTATTGATGAAGGGTTCGCTCTCTCTTTTAGGGAAAAATCGCCTTGTTTAGAGGTAATGTCTTTCATAAGATGCAGTATTTTGATCGAATTAAAAGTTTCGTTGGAGTTCGAAACTTCTTCAAATATCCATATTGTGGGTGTTTTTTCTAGCAACGTATTGTGTAAAGATTGGGATATGGTTGATTTCCTATTACCATCCCATTCTACCCAAAATCCATTCGCTCTCGAGTGAAGTCGGAGTCCACGTGGGGCTAAGATGGACGCAGACTTCAAATCTGCTTCAGAGAAGTATGACAATTTGTCTTTAAAAGTTTTCCAAAAATTATCATCCTTAAAATTAAATTCCGAGAATTCAGTTTAATTTTTCCTTCAAGTAGCTGTTTTCCGATCTTTGTCGATCCTCATGTGCAGATGATAAAGCGTTATTTTAGCATTTAATTCTGCCATTTTTATTTTATATTTTTTAAATCAATTAATGTGTATGCAGCTATTAAGCTATGACACATAACCGTTACTATGTATACATGTTAGATGACTTTTTTGACGTTAGAGACACTCATACTCTGGATTTCATTCGCAAATACTACTACGAGATACGTTCGCATACACAAACAGTCGACTCTCCTCCGTGAGTACCCACCAACGGGAATTTCAAAACCTTTGGTTATCCAAGCATGCCATCGTCATCCATCCATACCAGCGCCGCGAGAAGTGTGACTGTATTTTGCCAGATTTGAACCAGCGATAAACTGTCCCAGGTGGGATATGTGTCCAAGCTATCCAGACTCTACCTGGCAGACCAGCCAAGACGATTTACCCCCACACCATCCAACAATGGCGGTGTTTACAGTGTCGCCTGAACTCTCGCAACCGAAGTCTTGGCACGCACAAAGCTCAAATTGTAAAAACTCCTTGCCAAAATTCAAGATTCCAGGCCCGTCGAGACTGTATCCATCCTCTGCATCATCTTATCAACTTGTCCTGAATCCTATCACGTCCATCCCAAAGAACTGTCTCCCAAATTTGTGCGCCACGCTTTGCTTTCTCCTGCGTTTGTAAATATCGGCGTGGGCGTATATTTGGTGACCGGCTGAGGCCAGAGAAAGTCGACGAGAGATGTGATCATTGAAATAAGGATGTACTAGGTCGTACTTGTAGACTTGACGAGGCTTAGGTAGGAATCGATTTCGTTGGAAGTGAAAGATTGACATGGTGGAGTATTTTGAATCAATGCCTCGTGGGCCCACTTGTTCGATAATGCGTAATTTGACTGAACTTAACTTTGGGAGAGAATCTCAGTCCCGGGTCCGTAGAGGACACCGCATACAGGTGTTCAGTCTTTACCCTCCTGAGCGGTACTCAGTGCGAGGGTTCCCGTACAAGTAGCTTATCCTAACTACTTTGTGCCGTCTGGGGTGCTGGGGAATCCCGTAGACTTATCGACAATAGAAATTCTGGCTAATTAGCCGAAACCTTTGTCTTGGCGCCAGAGAGGAGCTAAATGTGCTAGATGGTCACAGACTCAAGCAGTAAAAACTAAAGAGGCCTACATGCTGCGCAGAACGGTTCTTTTGAATAGGTTGAATGCATATCCAATACAGAATGGTTGTGGAGCAGACTTGGAACTTGTACAGATACGCCACCCGGCCTCTGTACAAAGCGGGATTCACAAAAACTTGTATTATATATTTATTTATGCATCAGATTTTAATTGCGTATGCAGCTATCTAGGTGTGACACAATATCAAAGAAAAGTACAAAACAGATGATTCAACGTAAGGGAAGAGCACTCATGCTTCGGATTTCATTTGCAAGTACCACTACGAAGTTATGGCGGCTTTTTCTTGACCCCAAGTCAACCCTCATCCGTGAATACCCACCCAGGGAAACGTCTCAAAAACCCTGAGTTATCCAGACATGCATCCATCACCTTTCAACTTTTCTCCGCGCGAAATATGGTCTGAGGCGTCTCCTTCCAAAGTGGAGTAGGTGCCCAGGCTACTCAGACTATACCGGAGAACAACACCAGGAGGCGGACCACTACACCTTCCATCGTTTGCTTGTTTTTATAGTGTTAGCTGCACTCTCGCAAGCGAAGTCTTGACGCGCAAATTGGTGAATTCGTAAAACTCCTTGCCAAAATTCGAAATTTCAGGCCCTTCGAGGTTATATCCTTCCTTTGCATCACCTTGTAAACTTGTCCTGATCCCTCTCACGTCCATCCCAAAGAACTGTCTCTCAGATATATATACCATGCTTTATTTCCTCCGTCGATTATAAATATTGTTGTGGGAGTGTATTTGGTGACCGGCTGATGCCAAAGAATAGTCGATGAGAAATGTGATCATTGAAAGGAGGATATAATAGGTCGTAATTGTAAAGTCGAAGAGGTGTTGATGGAGATCGATCTCGTTGGGTCGGATGAATTGATTTCGTAGAGAGTCTTGGATCATTGCATCGTAGTCCGAATTCTTGGGAGTTGCGGAATTTGACTGAATTTGGCTCTGGGAGAATATTTTACTTCCAGGTTCGTAGAGGACACCGGGTGTAGGTGTTCAGTCTTGCCCTCCGACAAATTATTATGCCACACTTAGCCGAACTCGGCTGGTGGATTCACCGTACCAATATTTTTTAACCCATAGTCTATTCATAGTAAAACACATTATCAATTGCAAGCTCTGAACTGACGAACCTGTGTATCTTTCTGTTCTCACGCTGAAGTATATTCACACCCATCATTTTGCATTCACTATAGCAAACTACTGTGGGGTCTGAAATAGAAATCTTCCATATTTCTTGAAAGGTGTTGTAGGAAGTGAAGTGTAACGGTAGAAAATAAGCTTGTCATGTGGGAAAGCAGAGACTAGAATAGTTTTTTTAGGCCATTTGTTTCAATTTGGCGCATCAGTCAGTCCGTGTAATACTGAGGATCGAGTCAAATGATTTGGTTGTGTTATAAATTTTGGATCTACCGAGCTGTTACCTTTTAAACACCCAGACTATCTACAAATCTGCTAAGTCTTATGAGCCTTGACTACCGGTATTCCATTTCTTCACATTGATCAGACTCGCCTCGCACTAATTGAAGGATAATTCTAGTGAGATCCATTCATCTCTTATGCAGGCATTCAGCTAGGCGTAACCCGTAGCAAGAAAATTTGTATTCAAAAATAGTCACATGTCTCATGTCTATTATATTTATAAAAAATCTCCTAATTGTGACGCTGTGTAATTTCATTACACCCATTCTGCAAGACGTGAATGTAAAGCAGGAATCTGTCCCATAACTTCGTGAGGGCAGCTAATTAGCAACTACTATTGATGCTACCACTTGCAACTCGGCAGGCTCGTTTCTACTTCGAGTAGTGATCCAGAGGGTTTATTTAAATCTAGAGGTCCGTTACCTCATAAACCTCATTTTAAACTAGCAATTACATTATTTTTTCGATAAAAGTCGGGCCATGCTTCCTAGCCACAAAAAATGATGCTCAAAACATTTTCGAGAAGAGATGCTAGATCTGATATGTAGTATTGAATTTCGCGCCTAGCCATCGGCTTGATAGCCCACAGGTAGTACGGTGTCTTTGTGTATCTTAACCATCACAGCTCATTTCGAGTATGAGACTATCTCTGGTGGAGAATACCGGTGTGAAAGATTCTTCTAGAGGGAATAACTCATCTGTTTGATATTAATAGAAATGTTAGGGCCACGCTGATCCTACAAGAAAGAAACAAGATTCGGCCACTGTTTTCGTGGACCAGATTATTCCGAATAGCGGTGATTAATTTCGGTGAACATACGCTGAAAATTGATTTTAATATAAGAAACGGGATCGAGTGAGGCTTTTCGGGGTTGAGCGCTGCTCAGCTATGGGTAATTAATCGAGCGGCGGAGGTCCTGATGGTAATGATTCCTGGATGGAAGTACATGTTAATGTTTCTTTTAATGACATCGTATATGTCCTTAGCCTTTGTATGCTCTCTTGAATTAAATTAGGAGCTCGGTCGGTACTCAGATTTGAGTTTGCTGTGTTCCTGGGATTCACCTCGACGGCATAATTTGCCGCACAAATTCGAGTCCAATTTTAAGTCCTTCTTTAATCAGATTTTGAAGTCTTCTATCTTTTCTAGTCCGCATCCACAATAGAAGCATACCAAGGATTACGACATCCACAAATATGTGTCTCACGGCTACCCACCAAAGCCAGGCGAGCCAGTTGGTGAGGTCTTTTCTCTTGGTCCTCTTCCCTTGGTGATCCCATACATTTGAAGTTTGTTCTTTTAGTGCTGCGACCTCTGCTGTCATCTTCATCAGGGCCTGTTCTACTTTCCTTCGCCATTCAATCGTCTCCCTGCCCTTGTCATTTTTTTCACCCCCATATATACCTTCACTGTGTTCACTGTACCATATTCTTCGCTCTCCTTTTCTTTCTAATTCATCATCCTGACTTTCTGGACTTAATACTCGCATATTCTCATCAGCGTTAGGTGGAGGATATCTCGAGTGTCTTGGAGTACAGTAATCGGTTACCTCCATACCACTTGTTGCTCTCCTTGGAGATGAGCCGTTCGATGTTATGGAGTTGTTTTTGATTTGATCCCAGACAAATTCCAATTCGTCCACCAATGCCCTTGCGTCCCTAAAATTGTGACGGATGGTTAGTTTCTTCATAAAAGTAACCATTCCTTTCAGGTGTTACATACGCTGTGGTACTAGCGTAACGATGCATTGTTTCAATTAGAGCTTCCACATATCTCCTCTTGGCTTCAGTCCGGCTTAATCCTCGCTGCGCATCCCATGAGTCGTACTTTTGGCGATCTTTCCTGGTATCTTCAGGTTCATCTTGATTACTGCCAACGCTTGCTGGTCGTTCCATTACCCCGTCAACGTCACCCTCCATAGCTTGCTTGTAGAGCCCGTATAGCCGTAATCTTTCTGTGGACGGCGGGCGCATAGCACCGGTCTTGGGAACTTTCTTCACCGTATTTAGCGCGTGCACGAACACTCGATCTACAGATAGGTAAGCTCCTCTTCTCTCGCCGACGTAGACTCATAGTAGATGTTCGAAGGGCTGTGAGTTCTCACCAACAGAATCTGCCATCCTGGTGATTTCCTACTGCTCTTTCTCGAGCGCCTTCACGTTTAGGCCCTGAGATAATTGGTGAGAATGAATTAGACCAGTATGTCATAGATTCGAAGTTGCGGAGTTTACAAAGTATTCCCCTAGCACGCACGGTGCGTGAAGGGGGCTCTTCAACGAGGAATAAGGCGCGTGCCTCGGTTATTTTGATTGAGTATTTGAATGAAGAGGCGGGGTTTGGTAGGGGAGGTGACAAATAAGCTTGAGCTATCAATGTTTTTTGATTTATGAGTGTGGATGTTAGAAAGGATTGGATGGAGGCTGATTGACCCAAGTGACAACGCGGGCAATTTTCGACCACAGCGAGGCCATATCTGCCCCTTTTCTCTTCTTTGACCCCTGAAATCTCGTTCCATTTCATTCACTTCTCCTTCTCTCCTATTTACGGGTGCGCCTGCTGAAATTGTGGTTGGCACCTCTACGACCGCTCAGTGGGTCAGACAGAGCACAGGATTCTCAGCATCGGAATAGCTGCCCCTGGCCGGCTTGTCGTCGGCTCTCTCGATTTGTATTCTCGGGTATCCAATCAAAATTCGCAAGCGCTGCGCGTCCAACCTACCGGAGGACGAGGGTTTGCCGACTCCTGGGACTGATGCCTTAACGATGTTCGAATTGTAGCGTCCGTCGTTACATCTTTCAGATAAATGAATCATGCAGTACAAATTTGCATCAGTTCTCGGATCAAAATACCATCCAAACTTGAATTTTAGAACCCGAATTTGTTAATTTTCAAAACAGATTGCGTAGCTTCTTTCAACTACAATGCCAGGATCAATGAGGCATAAGAAATCTACATCTATAGACATCACTTCTTTCGATTCAGCATGTGTTGTTGATACAAGTTCCGGGCAGACAAGATACTCAAATATAGTCACAAGTTACTGGAGAATTTCCTGGCATTACAGAGGTGCATGGATATCAATTTGCGAGAGCCAAATTTAACCACAAGATGTAGACCTGCCATATAGGGCAATCGTTTGAGGAAAGTAAGAGATAGATTAAAAGAAGACTCCTAAACCAAGGCATCGTCAGCTCGAACGGTTACTACATGATTTGGAAGACCGATTCTTAGTCTGACCTCCCCCTCAATAAATAAAAGTTAGGCTTTGGATTGAGCTTTCCAGAACTTTAATCAAGCATGTGACCTGTTCGTTATGCTGAATGGCTCAAGCGTACGAAATTGGCGGTGAATTAAGTAGCTGTGGATGAAAAAGACGTAACAAAGAGATAATGACCCGAAAAGTGCTTTTTTAACCGAAAGAATAAATTTCTGCGAGAAATCGGTACAAAGTAGTACTAGGTAGTGATTCCCCAAAAATGTTAGTATGATAATATAGGAAAAAAAGTCTGCGTAAGCCACTGCTTTCGGTTCTATTCCGTCCATCTTCACAATATCTGCAAACTACAGCCGTAAGTTATCGAGTTGAAATCCGATAGTCAACCGAGTAGAATGTTGGTATTAGACAGGGGCCCTTTACACAAACGTTCCATGTACAAGTTTGGAGTCGCAGTCATTGCTGGTGAATCCCGCCTCTGCAACCGAGGATCCAGCAGGATCGAGGCCAAGGAAACGATCTCGCAGTCAGGTTGCGCAGAGATCTACGGTCTTCCATAGCGAAGGAGGTAGACTATGGAGGAGTTCTGTAACGGGAAATTAAACCCTGAATAAAACATACAAGCCCACATGTACACTACAGTTATAGGATGAGAGAACAATAAACAGTTAATTGTGCAATTTACAAGCCCCTAGTATGAAGCCTCGGCCAATGCGAGAGAATTGAAGATCGTATTCAGCATTAATATCAGTGTGTTGCGGATTCAAGTAACTGCCTTCGATTCGGATTTAGACCGGCTTCAAGTTGCACAAAAAGATGACCCTAGAACCATTGATAACAACATTCTCTATCAATTCCTATGATCCGCAAAGACTAGGTATTAATCTACTTGAGGTCACATCTCATCCACTGTTACCACTTATTCTGCTGCCTGAACAATTTTCCTCTGGGCTGGATGGCCTAGCGGTAAGCCGTCCGGGCCGGTCCTCTAAATTGAGCCCCTGTGGCTTGAGCATCTCCAAAAGCAATATGGCGGCCGCTGGTCCGAGCCCAACAGATCCTTTTGATCTATCATTGAACGATGGCGTACCAGATCTAATATATAAGGGTACGCTTGGTCTTTTATTACTTTTCCCCTAGTAGGATAATAACGGTTGAGACTGGGATGCAAGTCCCCGCTTACCTAGGTTCTGGTATCACGAATGTGATCTATTGTATGAGCGTTCCAGCCTAGATAGATATACTTAAATTACTTAATGTTACAGCAATTCATTTACGCGCAAGCCTTGAGCATAGCACGATTCGAACCCAACAAAAGGATATTGCACTTTTGAATTAAATTTCAATATCCTGATTTGGCGCTCTGTTGGCTCATACAGGTGTCTATCAACTGTAATATTTACATGGGGGGGGGATATCTTCCGATGGAAACCACCCAAATCTTTCTATTAATGTCTTGATTATATTCAAATTTTCCTTCAGAAAGTGCAATTACGCTACAGTGCCACTCGTGCAACCAATCACTTCGTCTCTATCGATCCCAAGAATTGCTTGACCTGTTCCTTTCTCCTGGCAGCATTTCGACCGTCTTTGTCATCTGAAATTGCTCTATACAGTCATGATTTAGGATCCACTGTGTTATCCTTTTTATTATCGCCACGATAATTTATCACAGTTTCGTAGGACAGATCTTTAGCGTATTCTCAAATCTCTCCTGTATCATTTGATCATCGAGGGCAGGACACAATCATATGCTTGAGGTTCAGTGATTGGCAGCCACATGGACAACTTGTACTTTAAACACTGGTTACTCTTCTTTTGTATAAATACGAGTTAAGCCTCATGTGCTCACTTCGAATTTACATCGCCAGACTACTTTGGGCCCCTGTCAGGTTTCGGTGGAGTAGAAATGGCAATTCCTGGATACTTATTTTCCATCGATCCGAATTTCGGTTCTGATAGAACTGAACTACTGTCCAGGCTTCGGGGTCGTCAATGGCTAGTCTTCGAGGCTGTTGGATCTGCCTTCAAATTATCTAGGATCTAGCCCAGTCGTGGTATGCTGCGAATTTTCCTCTATCTTTCTACAGTCTTTTAGACTAATAAACCCCCCGAATATACACTTAATTCGCCAAACACAACCTCTTGTTATTTTCTCGAATGGCTTCTCTCCCTCGTTTGGGCAGCTTGATATAACTACAGGCAAATCGTAGGACCTTTTGAACTAGTAGATATTTTTAGCGGTTAACGATTGGAGCCTTTGCTGCTTCAACTATATTTGTATTGGTAGCCTAACAGTTTCATGTTCGAGTATTCTCGTGCTGGTCAATTCAAAAGCCCCTGTGACTATTTCTAAGCAGTTTATTTAGTTTTTTTCGAAGGGAGATTGCCCTTTAGATAGCCTAATTGAGCCTTTCGCAGAGTTTATATCTGCGTCTTCAGTGTAAATCATTAGAATGTTGTAATTTACAGAGACTAATTGCTTCTGCCGTACTTGAGTTTACGTTCCGCCACGTCAATCTCTTCCTCTGGTTGACCAGGGCCTAGCACCTGCCAGTAATATCCTCTTCGAATCTTGAGGCGAAATATTCCCTCGTAGCTGCGATTCGGTGACCAACAAGGATGGAATGAGTTATATTTTGTGGGTTGTCGGCTTGAAGAAGTTGAACTCAATATTTTGGTCGAAAAATCAATCGAAATAGGTTTCACAACCGCAATAAGTTTAGTAAAAACTCACCGCCAATATACGATTCGCGAGTGAGTCTCATTCTATTTTTTTGTATCAGAGTTTAATTGTGTATGCTACTAGCTATCTATGACACAACATCAGAGACAACGTACAGAATAGATGACTCAACATAAAAGAACACTCGTGCCTCGGATTTTATTTGCAAGTACCACTGCGAAGTTATGGCGGCTTTTTCTTCACCCCAAGTCAACCCTCATCCGTGAATACCCACCCAGGGAAACGTCTCAAAAACCCTGAGTTATCCAGACATGCCTCCATCACCTTTCAACTTTTCTCTGCGCGAAATATGGGCTGAGGCGTCTCCTTCCAAAGTGGAGTAGGTGCCCAGGCTACTCAGACTATACCGGAGAACAACACCAGGAGGCGGACCACTACACCTTCCATCGTTTGCTTGTTTTTATAGTGTTAGCTGCACTCTCGCAAGCGAAGTCTTGACGCGCAAATTGGTGAATTCGTAAAACTCCTTGCCAAAATTCGAAATTTCAGGCCCTTCGAGGTTATATCCTTCCTTTGCATCACCTTGTAAACTTGTCCTGATCCCTCTCACGTCCATCCCAAAGAGCTGTCTCCCAGATTTGTGCGCCACGCTTTGCTTCCTCCGTCGGGTATAAATATCGGCGTGGGCGTGTATTTGGCGGTCAACTGAGGCCAAAGAGGGTCGATGAGTGGTATGGTCATTGGAATGAGGATGTACTTGGTCGTACATGTATACTTGACGAGCCATCGGCAGGGGTCGGTCTCCCAAGGAATGAAAATTTGACATGGTAGAGTTTTTTGAATCATTACCTCTTGGGCTGACTTCTTTAGTACTGCGAAATTTGACTTAACTTGGCTCTGGGAGAATCTTTCACTCCCAGGTTCGTGAGGACGCTGCATATATGTGTTCAGTCTTTTTCTTCCATATAGCGCCTCACACTGCTCAGTATTGACGGTTCTCATGTTGTTGTTTTTGCTAAAGAAGATAAAATCGAACCATTATGTGTGCGGTTGAAAACTTAATATTGCCATTAATCAACTTTTGTATGAATTGAGCATGACATTGCAGACTTTAGAGTGAGAGCTGGAGATCTGTAGAAACTGCAATGGCAGGTGTTATTATTTTCTCGTACAACGCTTCACTCAATTGGCTTTGTCTCACATATATACTTCGGGTCTTGGCCGGCTTGGACTGCTGCAAGGGAATGGATTCCGTTTCAAAAAGCGGGGTTTGCTGGAGAGATATCCACTTACCTTCTGGAATGCTAGATTCATCAACACTCAGTGCAAAGGCAGGTTGTTGGCACAGTTGGTCGGGTGCTGGATGTGCTTTCTAGAAGTGGTAGGTTGGATTCCTACACGGCCTGTTGAAGGGAGGGAATACGGCTGCTCGTTGTGAAAGAGTACAGGAGGAATTATTGAGATTTTCCCACGAAGGTTTTCCCTCAATAAATGGTCTTAGGATCATGGTGAATGCGTTCCTACCTATTCGACCCGATGTAACTAGCGTGAGGCACGTATTTGGAAAAGTCAGGCACCGGAGGGTCTTTGCTGGAGAATGGAGGAACTTGTATTCTAGATGTCCTCCATGCGTGTCATGTCCATTGGATGGAGGGTGTAAGCCTGGCACGATAAATATAATCATAATCATCATCATAGATACGGTTGGGCAAGGTTCACCCAATTTAGATGGCCCGAAACAACTGTACTTTTCCAATGATTGGCCTGATCCGGCCAGGCCCCACTCGTTCTGAAGATCCGCTGGGAAGAGGGTATTTTTAAGGTTTCTATAAAGTGAACAAATAAACCAAATCGCATTCCTGTCTTTTTCCAAATAACGTTGTGCACCTTATTTCCTCGTTGATTGATTCAAATTAATCATTTAGTCGAAGACGAGCCTCATTATTTCAGTCAGACACTGTCTGACATCCTATTCGTATCGAACAGAGCTATTGGAGAGAGCTGCCTCATTCAGTCATAATTCTCCTGCATAATCAAATTGCTGCATGGCCTACAGTGGCGGCGACTTCTATCACGTCCTGGCCCACCGACAAAGCTATCATTATCTTCTCTGCCTAACCGCATGCTGATTGGTTCGGCTTAGAGGATCCGATGAGCCTCGCGCAAGAATGCTTCTTGCACGTCTCCACAAATAAGACAGCCATCAATACATTCAATTACATCGTCAGCAGCACATGTTTATCCGCAGCCCCTGAAAACGCGCTTCTAAGCACAGGATACTTCGAAAAGGTAAGCTTTCATGCTCACTTATATGGAAGTCGGACCAACAAATCAAGTTGCGAGCTATAGCAGCGTCCATGGCCGTGCAGAAGAAGCGTACCAGCACCTCAGGGGCGACGGTCGAGGTATGTTTCTCCATACGCATCTCCTGGTCGACGAGGCCGTAGGAGGATGGTTGCTCACCATCTATCGCTCGCAGAATCTTGATAGCTGCCTGGCAGCCGCAGTCTTTGTCCCATTTGTCGGCTTTGAATCCTTAACTGAACCGCCATCTCAATCCGCTCCGCCAAAGCCCAGGCAGCCTGCTGTAAAAAGTGCTCGCGCGCTTCAGCGTATACAGGCACACCAAGATGTGGTGCGCGGTCAAATGATGGCTACCATCCTCCAGCAGGCGGAACGCTTAAAGGTCGCAGCGAAGCAAGAAATTGAAGGAAGCCACGGCTACAAGGTCCAATTAGAAGATGGCGAGGTCAGTGAGACCAGCGACATCGGTGAGAGTCCAGAGATAGAGGAGATGTTTCGCCGGCTGACGGTGCCACTGCAGCCGGGGAAGAACTACGAGCTCACCAGTTCCACGCCGTTTCTTGATAGCCCTATCATTGCCGCCGTCACATCACCGGAGCCCCCAAGTGATCCCGCTGCCCTAGAACGCCAAATTCGTCAGCGGTTGGCACAGCAGCTTCAGATTCTACTGCACGAAGGCATACAGCGGCTCGAACAGTATGATCTCCACTGCTGTAGCGTACAGGAGCAGTGCGAGGCGAGCCTGGCTAGCAGCTACAAGGCATCATGCTCTGAGAGCCCGCGTCGTGCCAGTCTCCCGTCATCAAATGCCTCGCGCCGTACGTCTGTTGAAGTGGCACGGCTCAGCAACGGTATGCCGGTTAGCATGGAACGTGCGCCTGTACGCAAACTAGAAAGCCTCGGCGAACTCACGCGTCGCAGTAAATAGCTATGAGAAGGTGTGGAGGGACATTATATTGCAATCTATTCTCATGACATGAGTCCAAGCTACTCCTGTCCCAATGTCTCTTCCCGCACCCGTGCTTCATTTCCCTAAGCTCCACTCTAGAGTGTATTGTTCAGCTATCCTGCCCCCCTCATGGCCATAAAGCCGTGCTGTAGCGCAAAATTTCTTGCCACTTGCCCCGAGCTATATCATACGCTTAATACCTCGGGGTATCAGGGCAGGAGTATGGCAATCTCTGTAAACTCGAGTAAGCTCCTCTCCAGCTTCCCGCTCGCCGTCGAATTTCGGTGGCTAGATGCTATCAAGTGTTCAGCCTTTAGTGGCTTATCGGGAAACATTGGGCGGACGGGCTTAATGTGAAGGAGCCTAGATAGGAATCAAGAATCTCACGCCCAAAGGCGCACAAATGTACAAGGACTGGTCTTTGCCCGAGTCCAAAGGCGATGAGACGTGCTCCCCAGCAAACTTTTCCCATTGTCATGGCCGTGCCCGTTTCTCCGTCAAAGGGGAAGCTTGACAACGTGCATCGCTCTAAATGAATTGGAGGCCCAGTCATCAATCATAAGTCATATATTCATAATAAGTATCTAAGTGATAATACGAAAAAATGTAGGCATCAGTTCAACTAAGCTGGAGACCGCCCCGATTGGTCGCCGTCCGAAAATTGTACCACCTCATAGGAATTACCAGTAGCTAACGAGAAAAACAAAGGAAATTTAAAGCGTACGCCTGTATACCCTGTAAGCGTAATGTAGCCAATTATTCACCGATTTTTCCATGGTTGAATGAGTCCACCCAAACACCATTTCTCCTGTATACCAAATTTGAAACACTCAACATCGCGCAGTTGCGATATTTCGAGGTTGATTCTTACCTATATCTCGTAGTTCATGACCATGTCACGAATATTCCATCTCCAGCTCTCATTCTCCCGATCTAGGGGTGTTTCTGCTTGGATCCACTTCTCAACTTTTCGCTTCCATCGCTGTTCTTCTTCTCGTTGACGCCGTATAAATTCTGGTCCTACGTCGAATTCTTCACCAACGATGAAGTCTTCTTTGAGCCCATCACTCATAGCACCGCCTACCGAGGACTCTCCTGGATGACTATCCTCGAGGTCTGGCACGTCTTTAAAAACATCATCCTCATCGTCCTCATCAAAGGGTTCAAAGCAATTTAGGGCTCTATCCTGACAATGTGGGACCTTCCTACGTTGGGACGGAACTTTAAGCCAGCACATGCGTTGGGGATCAAAAATCATTCCTCCAACAATTTGGACATTCTGCGATAGCTGGACGTGTTGAATAAGGGCTGGCCGAGGGGTTGTCGTTTCCTTTTCTCGATAAATCTGGAAAGACTCTTTTTGTGGAAATGATGGAATTGACGCAGATGAGGGAGATGAAGGTGCATCAAAAGGAGATAGATCAAATTCGTTACCCTCCCATTTGTAGGTGCGCGGGTTGTAGAGCATTCCTTTAACGGCTGAACGCATGTCAGTATCAGTTAAATCAATTGTAAATTCATCACATACATTTTGAATTATTAGAGTTTCCAATTGGCTTGATTAATTGAGGTTTCTGTGGACAGCATTTGTTTTTCTTGGGTTTTGCGGGCTGGGATTTGGTTGGGTTCAGAGCCGATGATGCTTGAGACTTTGCTTTCCAATGATTTGTAAGGGTTGTTAGAGGCGTTCGTTGAGCAAGTGTGTTTTCCCTGGCCATTCGGCTTGCGTTTGTGTCCCGGGCAAATCTTGGTAAATCATCTCTTGATCTCGTTGATGTTGGATGATCCGGTAGACTTACAACGGAAGCTGAATTATGGTGCTCTACCTTTTTCCGCATGCTTGCTAGTTTGGGTGGTCCGCGGCCTACAGGATCTTTAACGTACTTTTGTTCCGATTCCCTAGACGTGGGAAGATCATCAAAAGCGTCCAATTCACCTCCATTTCCAAAATTCCTACGTCGAACTGGTTTTGTCAGAAGCCGTTTTGTTGCAGCTTCTCGGGCCAGATCTTCGACACCGCGTCTGCGCGGGCTAGGTGATCGTAGAGTTGAACGAGAGACTGTACGGGATGAAAGGCCTCGTTCAAGGCTCTGACACGAGGACTCAGAGTCTTGTCTGTGGAACCTGCGTAGATTTTTAGATAAAACATGATGAGATTGAGAATTGATGGCTCCAGCAGGTAGAAATGGTAAGGGTTGGGTCCTAGACGAATTCAATGAATTTTCAGCAATACAGCCACGCTCGATTGGTGTTTTAGGTCGGATGACTGGATTTGTTCTATTGCTGTCAGAATGACCCGAGTATCTTTCGCTTCGCATTGTATTATTTGAGACAGTAGCACTCTGAAAAGATCGAATTATTGGCATTGATCGTTTTAATTTTAACATATGTGCACTGTTAGTTGTAGTGGATTCTTTTCGAAGTGTCACACACGAGGGCTTTGACAACAGGTCTCGTTGATGTGGTGTCGAGGGAAGACCTAAGCCATTATTGGATAATGTATTTGAGTTAACGATAGTATTTATTGATGCATGTGTCATATGGGAACCAAGCCTTGATCGAGATCTTCGAGCTAGGTTTGTTAACGGACCGCCACTCTCAGAGACAGGCTCAAGTGAGGAGGGCACCCTATCGTGGTTTCCGAGTGGACGTGGTAGCCGTGATATATTTGTCGCAGATGGCTTATTGGTGAACTTCAAGGACACAGCAGCTTTTGGCTTTGCTGGACTCACTGTAGGGGCTCTCTTCACCTTGATATTACGATTAAGAGTTAGTTTTTTAGTGTCAAATACATCACCATGCCCGATGTCTAAATCCGATAAGAAGTCATCTTGAGGTTTTGTGGGAAGGGAATAATTTCTCTCGCGACTGAGGTATTCTTGTGATCGATATTGTTGGCGTCTCTTTAAAATTTCCTGAAAGGGAATCGGACCGTGGGGGAGGACAAGCCCTTCCATTGCTTCATCTTCACTATCATTAGTGAGCGAGCTAGAAGCACTGGGACTGAGAGCAGCTGTGGAAGAGCTGTGGTTAGATATTCGATTTCTCTTCCCCCCATGCCGTGTTCCCAGGCTACCACCCTCCCCCCACTCATCAGACTCATCATGGAGACTTATTGGAGTTTTTGGAATATCTTTTCGGGTACTGAGTTTTAATGGACCGTCATTACTTTGGAACTGAAAGTCCTGATCGTAGTCGTTCTCAGCGAGCTCGGGCTCCATCTCTTTCAAAGGAGTGGGCGGTGTTATGAAGGGGACTATCTTAGAAGCTTGTCGACTTTTAGGAACTTTAATGGTATCTCCATCCCAAAATTGTCCATCTTCCGGATCTTCAGGGGATCTATGAATTGTTAACTCTGATGAAGGGTTCGATTTGCGGTCTGATTGTGTTTTAGAAAACCGCTTTGTCGCGCGTTCTGATGAAATTTTTGGGCTATTTGGGGCAGATTCAACGCTGCTTTCTAGACCAAAGGCATCTGGAAAGTTTGAACTATCAATTTTTTTGATCTTAAATATACCCTCACTAGGGAATTCGATATCTCCATCATCCCAATCATCTTGTATAAATTTTTTAATTTTTCTAGCACCGAGTCTCTTGATCGTGCCGCCTAAAAGGGCTGATGTCGGAATGCCTTGTGGCAAGGGTATTCCAGCTCTTTTTGCGGTGGCAATGGCATCATTTATTGATCTTTCGTCATCTCCAGGTAGAAGAACCTGCCTTTCTTCGTCGCCATGGTTTGATTCGACGTCGGATCGAATCGATCTGCGCGACGAAATCGAGTCCCGCCGTTGAGTAGCTGCAGTTGTTGCGATTGACGCGCTTCTAAATGTGAAGTCGTCTCCTTGGATGTCCAAGTCGTCATCGTCCCAGCTCTCAATGCGCTCCTCTGCTTGTACATTTGTTGTATGCATCTTGACTTTAGTTGCAGGGCTAGGTGCTAGTGTGTAATGTGTTTGAAGGATGATAGCGCAATGATGTGGATAATTCGCGACTGTATTAAATTATGGGTCAAGCTTTTGATCGCAGTACTATTTGTGGCGGACGCGCATGTCTTTTTATTGCAAGTCTCTAATGCTATCCGATAGTTCAATATTGTGAATAGTGAGGGCCGATTGGTGTTTGTGTATTAACCTGTTTAATTTAGTTTGCAAATAGCTGGAGACTATCAAATTTGTTTCGCATAGTTTTTCACCCTCTCCCTGAAGTCATGTTATCTTAACACTAATGCGATATTTGTTTAGATGGTGGTGGATAGAAGTCAGATTTGATATTCGAGTGAACTAAGGGCACTATGTTTTGGTACCAGCTTGTTCGGATTAAACGGAGGCAGTTGAGCGGAAGGGGAGCGGAGACGCCCAGTACTATGGGCGGTTGATTTACTTGTCTTCCTGATTAGGTTTAGTTTATCAGGTGACATTCGACCGGCAGGGGAATCTTATGCTAGGTCGATGTCTCTGACACGATCCCTGGGCTAATCTCATTTCTTTATGCCAAACCACGATGACAAGTTAGTTTCCAGATGGGAATAATTCATATGATGATAGATGACTACAAATTCCGTGCTCGATGAGTATGGCAAAGCCTGAGCTACGAAGACAAAGCTAATATGTAACGAACCGGTTTCTAAAGTGGTGTTCCACCAAGAGTACTTCGCGCCACCAACTTAATAAAAATGGCAAAGCCCAAAATACCTCAGCGGCGTGTTAATATTAATAAAAAATTACTTGTGTGCCTTCTGACGTGCATGCGATGATTAATCTTCTCGCTTAGACCAGGAGGTGAATTAAGTCGGATGCCTGGACAACGCGCTCCAGCCCCCAGTGTCAAGGGACTTCATACTTTCTAACTGGATGTCGATCTCGGTAAGATTGAGCAAGTAAGACAATCAAAGTGAAAAGGTGAAAGTTCGATAAGCTGGTTATTGTCATCCAGGATAGGCTCGAGTGAGGCCTTTAATTGTGAGACTCATTTGAATCGCGCGCTGATAGGCTTGACATTAAATTAAGTTCGGTACATGCTACAACATCTATATCATGGAAAACTCCAAAGGACAACGCCCATTTTCGACATCAAGTAATCGCGAGTAGACACAATGATGAGGACTGTGAAACGGTAGACAGAGATACAAGCTACAAACTTTATGGAACTCAAAAAGTATTGGTAGATCCGTCGGGAAAAGATCTGCGAGTCTGTTCGCCGAATATAATGACCGTCTGAGTGCGACTGCCTGAATTGCGGCGTTAATGATGTATTTTCTTCGTGGTGGGCTGTACGAACCAACAGAACCCTGTATTCACATAGGCATATAGCGTCTGAAGACCATGCCTGCTTCTGCTACCATTTGTAGGAGATAACTCGCATGTGTATGTGTGTTTTATTGTACTACTTGAGTCTATGACTATCTAGCACATTGGGCTCCTCTCTGACCCAGGCCACACCTTGTACAGTGCTCCTATCCTCTTTTGTTACTTGAAAGATCATTGATATATTTCCCTTGATGAATAGCCATTCAGCTCAGTATTTACCCGTGGAATTCTGCCACCTTTTCCACGGAACCTTCTACCCAAAAAAAAAAAAAAATGGTAGCAATGGAAACTGCGTGCGCGGGAAAAAGTCTCAAAAAACCTGCAGCCCCAGCCAGGCGAGGCCTAGACACCGGGACCACATGAGGTGCGCATATTCATCTATATCTCCCTTCTTTGTAACAGTCGAGGCCGACTTGATCCAATCCACCATCTCCGTATCGGGTGCTGGGTACGCTCCGGAAACTCATCGGATGGCTTTTCCTCCATGATCAAGGGTGGGTGACGAGTAGGGCTCCGACCCTACCATCTGATCTGATCGTGGTTAGCTTCATGATAATGGTGATAGGGGAATGTGTTGAGAGATGAAGACGATACAGACCGCGAAAGCGATTGGGAATCCTCTTCGAAGTGAGGACTTTGTTACTCAATCTCGGCTCTGCAGACTCTACAGTGAGAGCTGGAGGTTCGTAGGGGACACCACTGACAGGTGTTGAGAATAGTCCCCCGAGATAACTCGCATGGTAGTGCCTAAACTGAATGAAAAAAGATGATTGTATAAACTCAGCTTTCATATGCGACTCGAAGCTTCACTTCAATCGCATACACATATCATTCAGAGAACAAAAGATTCTCTCAGTTTCTTCTACGCTCCACGCAATCATCTCTGCCAAAGGGCCGCAGGAATACATTGACAAGTCGGGAGCTAAGACCGAACACTTGTCAACGGCGCCTCCCACTAACCACCAGTTCCCACCGCAAAGTCTAAAGGGCTGAGAATTAGTCCGTCACTCGCTAGGATCGCTTCCGATGTTGGTGAGCTAGCTGCTTCTCCATTTCCCACGACGGCACAACAAAATTGGGCCTGGCTTCCATGCAGCACAACCCGTCTGTGAAGATATTTCTAGCATTCCTTCACAGCATGCTATTTTTCACGAGGCACAAATGACGGAAGGAATCGAGATAAGGCTAGGAAGAAGCGGTGTGCTTCATTCATGTCAACTCCAGTCCACATCGCCCATCCACCCGGCTAGCCCCTCTAAACCTTAAAAGGGTGGCTAAGTTATAAGTATTAGTCCTAATTTTGGCACTAGCGCAGCCATGTATTCAGTTTTTTGCATGTTTTCACGCTTGCCATGTTCTCCGAAGTGGCCTGCCTTATTTTAAATCGAATTAGGCAAACGCTGAAGAGCAAAAGGTACTGCAAGGTGTAAGTTGGAACGAAAATATGTGGGGAGCGGGACTGCAGTGAGGAAGCTTTAGGGGAGTAATAGAGAAAATATACCGTCAGCGGCACAGGTAGAATGGGTTCTTATGTACTTTTCCCTGAAATTATGACATAGCTAGACAGCTGCATTCGCAATTAAAATCTGTTTCAATTAAAAGGTAGAATGGGTCTCAATCTCTGATAAAATTATGTCCTGGAATTAACAATAAAAATACATGTGTCACGGGCGAGACTTCGTGTTTAAAATAACAGTCACATATCTTGCCGAGGTATTTATCTGAGCGCTAGCATGGACGACATACCAAAGAGCCAACTGACCGTGAGCTTCCCTGTTGACATACAAATTTTTCTAAATTTCCATAGTGATCGAGGCAGATGTACGTGATTGTAAGGCAGCCACGGAACGAGGCAGGACCCTTATTTTATAAAGGTCTGATCGCATCCTTTCCAATTTTTCCTTTTGACGAGACTCAGAATTCCATGCTCGACACTGATACCCCTCGTCTTCCGTGCCCATGCAATGTGCTAGGTTGGGCTTAACCTACAACCTCACTGCATGGGTGGAGGCAGGTCCTACAATAACCCCCACTAGATCTACTATCACTGATGTAAATTCATGATACGATGCATTTTTTATGAAAGGATTAGATTCGAATACAAATGTACGCATATCATGGTTGCAGGCGAGAATCGGAATCGCAGCTAGTACGGTGATCGATATCCTAGTCAATGAAGACGGCTTTTATTGCTCCGTTCTGAATGGATAGGCGGGAATATTATTACAGTTCTTTCCTAACAACTGCGGCTCGATCGAGTGACTTTGCAAGCGCGCTGCCTTTGCCATGTAGAATGAGGTTTCCGAAAGCACTTGATGTGTTGCCACTACTTCGTTAGTGGCTCAGGATGGGGTAAACATGACAATTCCTAGCAGTCAGTCATCCGATCTTGGACTATGTGTGGCTGGGTCATGAATCCATTGAAAGGCGACAGGGAGAATGTAGTTGCTCGTAAGACTATAGCTGTCCCGCACCAGTAATACATAAAGTGGAATGGACCATCTAGACTTCCTACAACATACAACTCCAAACGCCGCTAGAAGACGTGGAATACCTTGTGAAGTATATCACTGTAGCCATGACCAATGACACGTTGGGCCGGTGCGTACGAAGGGAATACTGGATCGAATTCAGACATCGAGTCACCACGCAAGTACAAGGAAATGCTCGAGAAATTAGGGTCGAGGTTGTATTGACTATACAGATTTGCAAGCCCTCAGGCTAGGATTAAAGTGCGGTTGAAGGTATTCCACGGTAGTAGTGGTCGGGAGTATGTCGGACCTTCATTAATGTTTTTACCGCTAGGCCTTTGACACTTATTTGGCACTCAGGGGAAAAATTGACAACAGGCCTCCCGTTGAGCAAGGCCTTTTGGTAACCACTGAGACTAGACAGGCTAGCAGTGTGTGTTGAGGCGATCCGGTCGGGCGCCAGGGAAGATACGTAGGGCTCTCCTTTTGTTCAGTTGACCTGGGAACTTCAGCTTGGAATGAACTATGATCCGGAAGCTGCCGTCGATAGGTGTAGCTCGCTTTATTTCTCTATCTGAACAGAACTTGGTGTAGCTTCTGTTTTCTATGATCATGGGGCCTCAACGCTATACGAAATTTGGTCCGACATTTCACGGCCGGTGCGATAATTCCTGCCCCGCGAGCAATCGAGGGACAAAACATGCGCATTTCTGGTAAAGCTGAAAGTTAACAAGCATCGACTGAGCTGGGAATCCGGTAGTCATGTAGCCCCTGTCGTAACAGTCGCAAGCCCCTGCCTGATGGCTTTGAATATGAAGGAATCTGTGGCTGGCGGAGAAAGTATCCGCCACCCCATCGTTAGTTTATTAAGGTGCTGGATAAAATCACACCTATCGCCCACTAGCGGAGTTTAAGTACGAGCGGGGCCGGGCAGGACCAGGTTAAGTGCCGTAGAAGCATACGAAGTGCCTCGTCCCGCTTCTGTGGCAGAGACTGTGCCGAACCGCTTCGAGGACTTTGTCCATGACGAGAGCGGCAGCCCGTGATTGATGAAATAACTTTTCCCAGGAAACTCTCTCATTTCATAGATCTGCCTGGTACACTGTATGCCTTAGCCCTGAAATATTTTCATTG